AAAAAGCAACACTAAAACTCATGCCAAACAAAGCAACAAGCTAAACAGGAGCTTGGAGTGAGTATGCCTCACAACGTACACAAACCACAGCAATTAACTAGACAACAGAAGCTTGGGACCAAACACTATCAAAGAATGAGTGTGTCTCACAACACTAACCACAGATGGACAACACATTGAGCCATGACAGATGCATTAATTAGTCAAATGCAAGAGCTTGAACATTGGCAAAGCAGCAACCTTCACTGAATAGCCTATGTAAATCCTCAATTTTACCAATTTTCCTCAAGTCTGTTGTTCGTTTTAGGATGATTGAAGCAATTCAATTCTTCCTCTGATACACTTCCTTATCTAGTTAATGATAGAGGTAGTGGATGATGAGGAATTTTTGAAAGCCCTATTGTTCCTCTCCATCCATAAGAAATAAGCTACAGCAGAGAGCAGTAGTCTATGCACTAGAAAGCTTTTGGACCTCCAATTTGCTGCACACCATGCAATTAAATCCTTCCAGCTTGATGGTTGGATGTAAAACCCTGCTAAGTGCTGAACAAAGGACCAGAACTCCCTTGAGAATTTAAATTGGAAAAATAGGTTATCCAAGGACTTATTGTGGCCAAAAATAGATTACAAGCATTGATGTGGTGTTTGTGCTCCATTGTTTTCCTGTCTAATGTGTTTAATCTACCTTTTATGGCAAGCCAAGCTATAAAACTGTGTTTAGGGATATGATTTTTGAACCAAATGGTGTGGTGCCAAGGGAAGATGAATATGGGTAGAAGAAAGTATTTAATTGTTTGGATAAGGGAGAAATTAATATTTGGTGAGGGTACCCAAATGATTGTGTCTAGTTCATTGGATGGAGCTGGTAATTCATGCAGTTGGGAGTGAAAGTTTGGTGATTGGAAAAATGGGATGTGAGCAAATGTTGCTGGAACAACCCAATAATTAAAGAAAATTAGACTATCAACTTTGACTCTCAAGTCCAGTTGAAGAATTTCCCCATCATTAAGGTTGAGCTGGTTAAATAATGGCCCATTTGGCAGCCAGTAATCTAGCCACATCATTGTATCACTACCCTTCCCCACCCTATGCTTCACAAGGCCCCTTGCCATATCCCTTAACTTCAACAACCTTCTCCAGAAGCCTGAGCTAAGAGCTGAAGGTTTAACAGTCCAAAAGCTCTTATTCTTAATCAGATATCTATAGGACCGAGAAACCCAAAGACTTTCCTTTCTTCTAGTAAAAAGCTTTCATATATGCCTCGTATTAGCAATTATGTTTGTCATTTCTAGGTTAGGAAAGCCTAGACCCCCATTAATCTTTAGCCTACAGACCACCTCACAAGCCACCTTAGCACATGATTTCTTTAGTTCAAGACCAGACCACAAGAATATTTTCAAAATTTGGTTAATATAACGATCCGAACCCATAGGTCCGAATCGCCAACTAGGTCCTTACCCGAACCCGAGGTCATCTAAGGGCACCATTGTCATTTCAAATGTCAGGACACTTTTAACACACATTTACAACTTATCACATGCATCATAGTATCCTTACACAGCCTAGGAATGACCTTGGGAGAGATGGATTAGGAACAAAAGAAAACCAGCAGTCCAGTCGTCCGAAGTGGCACTTCAGTCGTCCGGAAGGCCCATTCCGGTCATCCAAAGTGGACCAACCAATCAACCGGAATGCATTTTGATCAATTTCAGTAGCCTCGCAAGATTTTTAGCCACAACCGGTCGACTTGTTGGTCCACTTTTGACGACCGAAATGGGCATTCCGGACGACCAAAGTGCCACTTCGGATGACCAAACTGCTGGTCTTCTTTTGTTCCTAATCCATCTCTCCTAAGGTCATTCCTAGGCTGTATAAAGATACTATGATGCATGTGATGGTAAAGGTGTGTTAAAAGTGTCCTGACATTTGAAATAACAATGGTGTCCTTAGATGACCTCGGGTTCGTGTAAGGACCCGATTGGCGATTCGGACCTATCGGTTCGGGTCGTTACAGTTAACTTCTTAAATAACCTTCTTAGGTAATACAAAAGTTTGAGCCCAATAGGATTGCATAGAGCAAATGATAGATTTTATGAGGACAACTCTTCCAGCAAAGGAGAGAAATTTGGATGTCCAGCTCTTCACTCTTGCAGTGATTCTTTCAACTAAAGAAGTACAGTCAGTTGAGCTAATGGCTCTTGATGAAAGTGGCAGGCCCAGGAAATTCACAGGTAGTGTACCAGTTCTAAATTGTAAAAAGGATTGTATGTCAGTTTTTACTTGGTTGTCCACTCCTGAAAAGAAAACTAAGTTCTTGGAGAGGTTTATACTTAGACCAGAGAGAGCTAGGAAATGATTGAGAGCTTGGAAAATTGTTTGTACTGATGAAAGGTTTCCATGGGAGAATAACAACACATCATCAGCAAAGGTTAAATGTGATAAGCCAATTTGATGCACCTCCAATGATATTTAAAGCCTGGATTGTTGCCAATTGAGTTATTTATGGAGAGAGTGAGAACCTCCATAGCCACTACAAACAGCAATAGGGAAATGGGGTCACCCTGTCTAATTCCTCTTTGTCCCTTAAAGAAACCAAAAAGTGCTCCATTGAGATAAATGGAATAAGATGGGGTTGTAATGCATTGGGTTATCTAAAGGATTGTGCAATCAGGAAATCCCATCAGCTTCAAGGAATCAATGATGAACTGCTAGTGTATATTATCAAAGGCTTTTCTGAGATCAACCTTCATTGAACAATTAGGAAGATGTGATGCTCTGTGATATCCATTAAATAATTCATGTGCCAAAATCACATTTTCAAAGATGCGTCTTCCCTTCACAAAGGCATTCTGAGAGGGACTAATTAAAAATGGCAAGGTAAAGCTAAGTTTTGCTGCTACCAATAATTTAAAAATGCATTTGTTAATCAAATTACAATAGGATATAGGTCTAAAGTCATGAACAGATGTTGGGTTGGAGATTTTGGGCACTAAAGCAATATAGGAGCAATAATTTCAGTGAGCATTTTTCTAAAAATAAAAAAGTCCTTAATGGCAGCAGTGACTTCTTGACCAATGATGGGCATGAGTGAATGAAAAAACTTGAATTGTAGCCATCAAGTCCTGGACTGTTAAAGGGGTGGAATAAGAGTAGACATTGTTTTATTTCTAGGTCAGATGGAATTGCTGTTAGGGATAGGATGAGGTGGTTTGGGACAATATTTGTGATAAGGTGTGAGAAAGATGCCACACCTAGGTATTGCTGTTAAGTTTGGCCAATTGTGCTCTGAAAATGGTTAATGAATTCCTGTTGTAGTTCCTCACCATGGAGCTGGATTCCATCAATGTTTGTAATAGACTCTACCTTCCTTCTATTGTATTTAGTAGAGAAGTTCCTCATGAAGAATGCAGTGTTCTGATCTCCTTCCTTTGGCCAATGAATTTGAGCTTTTTGTTTGAAGACCATTTCTTCAGCTAGGCATAGCTCAGAGAACTTATCAACCAACCCCTTCTCTCTAATTCTCAATTGATCATCAATAGGATTCTGGTCCAAGCTAGACTGACATGAATAAAGATCCTCTCTACAGGCCTGCACTCTAGATGAAATGTCACTATAGTCTTCCTATTCAACTACTTGAGTGGTCTCTTTAGAGCTCTAAGCTTTGGTACCAAGACGTTATTTTTACTCGCCCAAGTACTTGATCAGCCTAACTCCCGTGCCCACCTTAGCCAACGCACTCCCCTCGTGCGCTTACTAGTGTTGTAGTGGCCCTCGCCCTCTCCTCACTTGTCTTGCACACTCACACAAACTAAGACACTTAAGTTGGCAAGGAAAGAACACTTCTATTGCTTCAAAGAATGTTTTGTACAAGGCTAGTTACAAACTCACTCTAGAAGGCACTCAAGCTCACTTCTAGGACTTGATGGCTACAAAATGAAGTCCTACTTCTATTTATAGGCACTCTCATCCCTAATAAATGGCTAAAATGCAATCTCACAGACGGTGGAAATTGTTCCTCTAAAACTTTTTCCAACCTTCACTACATATCTTCAAATATCTACAACATTCTAGAACTCTCCATACTACTCCACACAACTCTGGAGAACTCTAGAACCTTCCACACACTTTCACAATATTCTACACATTTCTACACATATTTAATCTTCCACACAATCCTAAATAACTCCAGAAGATTCTAGAAACTCCTCTAGCCATGCAATTGCCATGCAGCGTCTTACTCAGTGCGAGTGTCGACTGCGTGGCATAACCTCCATAGACGGGGTGTGACAATATGCTTTGTCCAGATCAACCTTCGAGGTGCACCTAAAAGGGAGAAGAGAGTCCTTATGGTACCCATGTAACTATCAAGTTGTGAAAGATCATTGGTTACTTTCTCTTCTTTGTTATTGGGAGTTCAGTTGCATGTATCTTCATTGTATTCCTATATATATATTAAAAAAAGAAAAAAAATGGAAAAGAACCCAACCCAACCAACCTAGTCTCACTTACTAAAAAGAAATTTTTATAAAAAATATTAAATTGACGATTAAGCTCATGAACAAGCATGATTTAATATAAACCAAGTTGCAGTCTAGTGGTATCTCTTCTATACCTCTTCTATACCATTTGATGGTTCAAGTATCATTAGAAATAAGTCGTTGTGGGTTTCTTGCCCAAAAAAAAAAAAAAAAAAACACTTGGATTTAACATAAACAGAGGATACTTGACGAACATGCTAATCTTCGTTTTGGAACCATTTAATAGAATAGAATCCGGAAAATGTCAGCTGCCATGGATATAAGCTTCTTAAGGGCCATTTTGGTGTGAAGAATCTGAATCCATTTTTATTGGTTCCAGAAAATCATCAACATTCAAAGAGCAGATAAATTAATTAGTAGCAAATGGTCAACGAGAGCGACCGATATAGAAATATTTTTCACGGAGGAGGAGTTGAACTGATAGTATGAAGTAAAAAATTTGAAATAATAATAAAATCAACATTAACGAAATAAGCACTCATTGACTTAATTCCATATCAATACATCAAATTACAAAACAAGAATACTAATCTAATAAATTAGATTAGCAACTTTTTGTTCAAACATTTTCTACTCCAAATAACAACAACTAAGAAGTTTATTTGCCTAGGGCTAGTAATTAAAGCTTCAAATACTTCAAATTGCTCCAAATTTTTATGGCTAGAGTTCAAGGCCAGAACCTTGGAATTTCATCAAAGTAATTTGATCGAGGCACTCTTTCATCTCAGAAGTGAAGTTGTTCTTCCAATCCCCAACAACACCAAGCCTCAAGAATGCACTATTTGGAAACCCTGTCGAAGGCTCGACACCATTCTTGTTCACCTCCAAGTTCTTGAGCCTCTCCAAGCTACACCTCCACACCAACTTATCAATTTCCTCCTCCTCAACAAATGGTTTACCAAGAAATGAGGCCAGCCTTTTCAACTGTCGTTTTGGGTCACTTCTAAGATCCTCATACTTCAAGAATAGAATCTTATGAGCCATCTTTGAGCTCTCCATCCAATACTCTAACACATGATCAAAGAAGGACCCATAAGGGCAAACCCCATTACAAAAGCCCTCAAATGCCCTCTCAAATGGATACGGGCCTTGTTCAGGTGTCCTGCGAGTGTTCAAAAAATGCCACATTGACACCAGAGTGTCCTTTGGGTTCCGAGTTATGTAAACAATCTTACACTTACAATTCTTAATTGAATCTAGTAAGGCACTGCAAGGCAAGTGAGTATGAAATAGTCTAGGAGATGACATACCTGAGAGATTTGGTGAATGATTTGGTGTGTAAACCTGGACCTCTAAGGTTCTTATACACAACGCGGGAGTGATTTTGACAAGAGGGTCCTCTTCTTCAACATCATTAGCACCAGTTTGCCGTTGCATGATGCAGAAACAAAGAGCTTTGAGCCAATGTGTGCCTGTCTTAACATGAGACGCCAAAATGACATCGTCATCGCGTGCTTCAAAGTGTGATTTAATGGTTTTTGCAGCTTCTAAGTGAGGGGGTAGATACCAAAAACCTTCCCATTGATAGAGATCGAGATCTGTGATACCCCCTAATTTTGGAACACGGATTGATCAACTCCGCGCACAAAATCAAGGGATATCAAAACAATTTAAGTATTTAACAAGCACAGAATACAAAGATGAATAATAAATAATAAATAAACCGCTGAAGAAAACTAATAAATAAATATTACTTAATGATTCTCCAACAATTACAATTCAGAAATCCCATAACTCAAGGACCCCTTAAAACATTATCCAATAATCCAATACTATTTAAAAGTACACAAGATGAATAGACGAATGACAGTCTCCCAGCTGCGGATCCTCAACCTCGAGACTGGAACCTCTAATAATCTGAAAAATAAATCATGGGTTAAACCTTACGAGCAAGTTCACTTTACCAGGCCTCTGAAAACCAATAAGCAGATCATCTCTGATCAAAACCAAACCTAATAAAGTTTTAACTTTAATAAAGCACGATATACATGTCTATATATAATTATATATACTATACTAATCACATCCATTATTAGGTTTATTAAATTTCCATACCTATTAAATAATTATTAAAATAATATTCATACCTAGACCAATCTACCATTTCATTTTATAAAAACTCCTTTGACCTTAATCCCATCCTAGTCAGTTGTTTAATCATTTAAACAACAAATTATAATAAAAGAAATACTCTATTTAATCCCAACCCGATAATGATTTTAATTGTTTAAATCACATATCCAAAATCCAAGTTTTGACAAATCATCCACGTCTTCCCCAATATTATTTTATTAATGTAAACTAATACACTAACCAGTAAGTACTAAACTATTCTCATTTAAGAATATCTAACCCTAATCCAATCCATACATACAACAACCATAGATGATATTTTAATCATCTAACACATAATAACGTAATTATGCTTTGGCAAATCAATCATGCCGTTACAAATATTTTTATTTATATATTGGCAATTCAACCATGCCTCCATAAGTATATTTATTTATACATTGGCAATTCAACCATGCCTCCGTGTATGTATATTTATACATTGGCAATTCAACCATGCCTCCACAGGTATATTTATTCATACATTTAATTAGCAATTCATCCATGCTTTCCATATATGTATTCTATTCATACAAATATTTAGGTAATATATTTAATCATTTGACAATTCATCCATGCCCACACTTTAACCATGAATTAACTTTAAAATTAACAATACGCTAAATCATACATAGCCATCACATGCATATTATACGCATATCATTAATTTAACAACCAGCCTATTAAGATATGCCAAATAAGAATGATAATATTAATCATCTTAAATGATTTATATATATATATACCTACACATATGTTATTTAATGTATATATGTGTTTAACACCTTCTTTAATAATCCTTGATTATTTAAAATCAATATACATACATACATACATATATATATATATATATATATATTCATCCTTCCATACAACTCATAGACAAATTAAACTATATATACCCATATATAAATAATTATATATATATATATATATATATACACTTCCTTCCATAACAAATTATTAATTTATTATATTTACACAAATTAGTGCAACTAAATATGTCAGAAATAGTTTCCTTTAAATACTCCATATTGGTTTAAATAGTTTTCCGACACTTTCTCACTAAAACATAAATATCTCCTAGTAGGATGGGAATCTGATAATGAAATTGGTACCATTGGAAAGAAGACGAAAAATCCTTGAATTTGAGCTCAAGAATGACCCAATTTCGATTTAAAATGACTAAGTTATGACCGTTTTAATTTCTAGTGTCGAATTAGGCCAACATAGTTTCCCACGCGCGCCCACGTGCTTACTATGCACTTGCACGCGCTGGATTCAAGCCTTCTTGTGTGCTGATATTGGCTAAGCTCTTTCAGCTACCGTGAGCTCACCACACTGAATCCATCACTTCCTTTATGCCGCATCCAATGGTCATAAATGAGTGCGCAAATGAACACGCTCACACTAGATTATTTTCTATTAACTATAATAGATCTAAGGTCCAGATCAGCGAGTGCACCATCTTCTCATGGTCTGCAATACACCAAATAATCCCATAGTTGACCAGACCACTTCTATGGTCCAGATACACATGCGCACCAAAGTTTTATGCGCCGCGATGCACCATATCAATTCACATAAGTTTAATTAATCAAATGGCCCTAATTGGCGTATACACCCTATTATCCTACACCGCGCCGCACTGGATCAATTCTTTATTGTGCCGCCGCTCCACATGCGCCAGTTACCTAGTATATATATATATATATATATATATATATATATATATAATTATTTTCCTAACAAATAATAGGAAAATAAATCCTAATAAATTCCTAAAAATATCAGAAAAATTCCAGAAAATTACAGAACAATTCTAGAAAATAAAGAAACCATAATTAACTCTCTTGGGTCACAAATCCACCTATAGATTGATTTTAAAATATACATAACACCTATATATATCAATTAAAATCCAATAATCTAAAAATCAAATATAATAGTTTATACTTTTTAATTATTCCGATCTAACCATAATTTTTAAACAAATAAATTTAATTAAAGCCTTGATACTCAAGGTGAAATCCTTATGAGTTCTAAGAGGAAAGTTAGAGAAAACTCGCCTGAAGGTTTCGAAACGAAACCGACGCTTTAAGCTTTAATTATCTCTTCCAATTCTGACGTCCTCCTTTTCAGATCCGACCTCCTCCTTGTCAGCCCTTCTTCTTCCTCTCTCTCTGTCTGTTTTATTTTTCTAACGTGTAAAACCTTTAACCCTAAAGCCTTATGTGTATTTTTATACACCTTAAATTCCAAATCCTATTCCAACTAGTATTATGAATTAAAATAATAATCTTTAAATAATTTATATCTATAAACATATATATATATAAATATATATTCCTTCCATAATTAACTCATTAGTTAATTAAATCATATATACTTATAAATATCAATAAATATATATCTATATATATATATATAAATATAATTGATACAAAAGTGATCATTTAAATAATTAAATAACCACGGACCTTCATTAATTAACCCAATAAGGTTTCATACAAGCCCAAGACCACATCTTTTGGTCCAACTTTCCTCAAACCCAATCCAATTAATTTAAATAAATAAGATAATTAATTAAATACAGAAATTAAAATAACTAATTACATGAAGCACATAAACAAATAAGAATTTACAACTAAGTCATATAATACCAATAAAATCAACACACCAATAATTCAATCAAAAATCAACCACACAAACAATCAATCATCATACATAATCACGAAATATAACTTAATTAAAATAAGATAATTAATCTAACACTCAATAAAATAAAATAAATCATTGAAAAATAAAATAAAATAATTAATCCTAATTAATAAATCTTTTAAAATTATCGGGGTATTACATTCTTCCCCCCTAACAAACGGAATTCCGTCCTCGGAATTCACAAATCCATGAAATAAAAACTTTGATTATTTAATTTCAAATTTCATTATTCCTTTTATCCGTGTGGAAATTAACCCATCCACACATATTCATTATTAGCAGACACATCACGTAATTAGCTAATTCCATATTTATATAATTGATAAATATAAGTACACACTAGAGACTCTCACTGGACTAAAACAGTTTCAACCGGATAGTGGGTATCTCACGTAAAACGCACACAAAGGTGATTACGAGCCCTCCTTCTACCAGAGCCCACACATCCTTAAACCCAGCTACCCATCTCAATCGGCAATATACGCCTCCATCCTAACCACTGATCCTGAGACTCAAGCTTATATCATGGCCCATATATGTGTGTGTGTGTATGTATATATATATATATATATATATATCCATTATATCCACATAAAAGTAAACTATCCAACCATATTATTTCAATGGCATACCATCCAACTATTCCGTTGACCTGACACGAATAAGTAGGACTTAACACTATGGTTAATCCGTTCCCTTATAAATATATAGGTAGGACTTAACTTCTTTGGTTAATCCGTCCCTGAAATGCCACCGTCCCATACCGGTGTATTAAACCATACAATTCATAAATAAATAGGTAGGACTTAACTATTCCGTTAATCCGTCCCTAAAATACCTCCATATTATTTTGTTGGTGCATAAATCCATAAAACCCATACTTCAAAATTAGGGAAAGACTCAACGATTTACCAATACCTTCTAAATCGGTGTCTTACCATTTTCCTGATAAGACTCAATGATTTACCATTAGGACACACTAACGGACCGAATATAGAATACAATGAATCCTAAACTTAAGCTCTAAGTAAAAGAGTACACAACGCGGAAGTCACACAACGAAAGACACCCTAGGGACACTTGAACCTGGAGTGCTCTGATACCAACTGTGATACCCCCTAATTTTGGAACACGGATTGATCAACTCCGCGCACAAAATCAAGGGATATCAAAACAATTTAAGTATTTAACAAGCACAGAATACAAAGATGAATAATAAAGAAAAAATAAACCGCTGAAGAAAACTAATAAATAAATATTACTTAATGATTCTCCAACAATTACAATTCGGAAATCCCATAACTCAAGGACCCCTTAAAACATTATCCAATAATCCAATACTATTTAAAAGTACACAAGATGAATAGACGAATGACAGTCTCCCAGCTGCGGATCCTCAACCTCGAGACTGGAACCTCTAATAACCTGAAAAATAAATCGTGGGTTAAACCCTACGAGCAAGTTCACTTTACCAGGCCTCTGAAAACCAATAAGCAGATCATCTCTGATCAAAACCAAACCTAATAAAGTTTTAACTTTAATAAAGCACGATATACATGTCTATATATAATTATATATACTATACTAATCACATCCATTATTAGGTTTATTAAATTTCCATACCTATTAAATAATTATTAAAATAATATTCATACCTAGACCAATCTACCATTTCATTTTATAAAAACTCCTTTGACCTTAATCCCATCCTAGTCAGTTGTTTAATCATTTAAACAACAAATTATAATAAAAGAAATACTCTATTTAATCCCAACCCGATAATGATTTTAATTGTTTAAATCACATATCCAAAATCCAAGTTTTGACAAATCATCCACGTCTTTCCCAATATTATTTTATTAATGTAAACTAATACACTAACCAGTAAGTACTAAACTATTCTCATTTAAGAATATCTAACCCTAATCCAATCCATACATACAACAACCATAGATGATATTTTAATCATCTAACACATAATAACGTAATTATGCTTTGGCAAATCAATCATGCCGTTACAAATATTTTTATTTATATATTGGCAATTCAACCATGCCTCCATAAGTATATTTATTTATACATTGGCAATTCAACCATGCCTCCATAAGTATATTTATTTATACATTGGCAATTCAACCATGCCTCCACAGGTATATTTATTCATACATTTAATTAGCAATTCATCCATGCTTTCCATATATGTATTCTATTCATACAAATATTTAGGTAATATATTTAATCATTTGACAATTCATCCATGCCCACACTTTAACCATGAATTAACTTTAAAATTAACAATACGCTAAATCATACATAGCCATCACATGCATATTATACGTATATCATTAATTTAACAACCAGCCTATTAAGATATGCCAAATAAGAATGATAATATTAATCATCTTAAATGATTTATATATATATATACCTACACATATGTTATTTAATGTATATATGTGTTTAACACCTTCTTTAATAATCCTTGATTATTTAAAATCAATATACATACATATATATATATATATATATATATATATTCATCCTTCCATACAACTCATAGACAAATTAAACTATATATACCCATATATAAATAATTATATATATATATATATATATATATATATATACACTTCCTTCCATAACAAATTATTAATTTATTATATTTACACAAATTAGTGCAACTAAATATGTCAGAAATAGTTTCCTTTAAATACTCCATATTGGTTTAAATAGTTTTCCAACACTTTCTCACTAAAACATAAATATCTCCTAGTAGGATGGGAATCTGATAATGAAATTGGTACCATTGGAAAGAAGACGAAAAATCCTTGAATTTGAGCTCAAGAATGACCCAATTTCGATTTAAAATGACTAAGTTATGACCGTTTTAATTTCTAGTGTCGAATTAGGCCAACATAGTTTCCCACACGCGCCCACGTGCTTACTATGCACTTGCACGCGCTGGATTCAAGCCTTCTTGTGTGCTGGTATTGGCTAAGCTCTTTCAGCTACCATGAGCTCACCACACTGAATCCATCACTTCCTTTATGCCGCATCCAATGGTCATAAATGAGTGCGCAAATGAACACGCTCACACTAGATTATTTTCTATTAACTATAATAGATCTAAGGTCCAGATCAGCGAGTGCACCATCTTCTCATGGTCTGCAATACACCAAATAATCCCATAGTTGACCAGACCACTTCTATGGTCCAGATACACATGCGCACCAAAGTTTTATGCGCCGCGATGCACCATATCAATTCACATAAGTTTAATTAATCAAATGGCCCTAATTGGCGTATACACCCTATTATCCTACACCGCGCCGCACTGGATCAATTCTTTATTGTGCCGCCGCTCCACATGCGCCAGTTACCTAGTATATATATATATATATATATATATATATATATATATATATATATATTTTCCTAACAAATAATAGGAAAATAAATCCTAATAAATTCCTAAAAATATCAGAAAAATTCCAGAAAATTACAGAACAATTCTAGAAAATAAAGAAACCATAATTAACTCTCTTGGGTCACAAATCCACCTATAGATTGATTTTAAAATATACATAACACCTATATATATCAATTAAAATCCAATAATCTAAAAATCAAATATAATAGTTTATCCTTTTTAATTATTCCGATCTAACCATAATTTTTAAACAAATAAATTTAATTAAAGCCTTGATACTCAAGGTGAAATCCTTATGAGTTCTAAGAGGAAAGTTAGAGAAAACTCGCCTGAAGGTTTCGAAACGAAACCGACGCTTTAAGCTTTAATTATCTCTTCCAATTCTGACGTCCTCCTTTTCAGATCCGACCTCCTCCTTGTCAGCCCTTCTTCTTCCTCTCTCTCTGTCTGTTTTATTTTTCTAACGTGTAAAACCTTTAACCCTAAAGCCTTATGTGTATTTTTATACACCTTAAATTCCAAATCCTATTCCAACTAGTATTATGAATTAAAATAATAATCTTTAAATAATTTATATCTATAAACATATATATATATATAAATATATATTCCTTCCATAATTAATTCATTAGTTAATTAAATCATATATACTTATAAATATCAATAAATATATATCTATATATATATATATAAATATAATTGATACAAAAGTGATCATTTAAATAATTAAATAACCACGGACCTTCATTAATTAACCCAATAAGGTTTCATACAAGCCCAAGACCACATCTTTTGGTCCAACTTTCCTCAAACCCAATCCAATTAATTTAAATAAATAAGATAATTAATTAAATACAGAAATTAAAATAACTAATTACATGAAGCACATAAATAAATAAGAATTTACAACTAAGTCATATAATACCAATAAAATCAACACACCAATAATTCAATCAAAAATCAACCACACAAACAATCAATCATCATACATAATCACGAAATATAACTTAATTAAAATAAGATAATTAATCTAACACTCAATAAAATAAAATAAATCATTGAAAAATAAAATAAAATAATTAATCCTAATTAATAAATCTTTTAAAATTATCGGGGTATTACAAGATCATCCCAAAAGCATTGCTTGGGAAGTTGATCAAGAAAAGGCTTTAGAGAATCAGAAGAGTGCATGAGCAATGCTGTGTTTTCAGCATTGTTTTCCATGACCATAATTTACAAAGAATGTAAGATGCCAAAACTAAGCTAGATTTCAAACGTACAAGAGTTGTGTTTACATATGTGGTTGAGTGAATCCATTTTATACACATGAAAAGAACTGATAACAAGATATAAGTGGGGACCGGCATACATTGGAGTGGATACATATCAACCATACATTTCTTTGACAGAAATATTTGCATATCTATCTAACTCAATTATTATTGTTGTCTTCTTATATGGAGTAATTGGTATGATGAATGGTGCTCTCTATAGGCTCTCCACATTTAGTAAATGGTCTGTCATGGCTTTCCATATTTGTGGCTAGCTATCTGAGTAGGCTACCTTTATTAATTTTTTATTTTTCATTTTTAGCATCTTTATTATTATTATTTTATTTTATTTTTTTCATTTTCGACATCTTCTCTTATCTCTTTAGTCACTTTCGCGTACTAAAACTTTGTTTCTCTCTCTACCTATTATCTATCTTTCCAAAGGCAAACACACAAAAAAGAAATATAAAACGTAAACTTGTGTGAGGCCGATTACCTCGCTAGCTATCTACCTCGATGACGAGAGGGACTTTAAAACGTGAATTGTGGGACCCATCATGTGATGAGCACCAAACCAAAAAGGTTTGCCTGTCTACAAAGTGAAATAATAACCACAAAATGCATCATACCTGATACCCGTAGGTGATGAATTTGTTGAGTAAAAATGTAAGGTTAGTGTATTTAAATAAATTCAGATAGCTTTTGACAAGAAGGTCCTCATCATTACCTTCAAAAGGGAGTGCATTAAAATTTCCCACAGCTTCCATGGATGCCATTTTAATTAATGGTTCCACAAGAGATTGAACATTCGAAAGAGGACACTGCAACAAAATATTGATGTGGTATTGTGGTGGTAAAATTTTAACAGCAATTTAAAAAATATGTTGCTATTGATATGTTTGTAACAGCATTCTCAATAAATGCCGAATCTGACTGCTGTAGCAACATGGGCCCATATTTTATTTTTCATTTTTGTTGTTCATTATTCATTTCTCATTTTCTCTCTCTACCCCGCTCCTAATGGCTTATCATTCTCTCTCTACCCCCGGTCATCAATATCGGACTTTAAGGACTTCAAGGCTATCAGTTCCAGATCACTCTCTTTTTCTCTCTCTTCTTTTAGCACTTTTATTTTAGAGAATGAATATGGTAATTGTGCTTTGGCTGTAGTGGTGAAGATGATAGCTGTGATAGTGTGAATACGGCATAGTGATTGAGATTCCAAATAAGATAGAAGATATTAAGGTTGAGATAGATTGAATAAAAGTATTGGCTAATTATAGTAAATTAATTATTAAAATTAATATTATTAATTATAATTAAGTCTGATAAAGTAATAAAGTATAATTGACTAATTGAGTTTTGGTCAGTTAAAAAATACTTAATTTTGGAGTGCATGAGATCATGATTTTACTCATCAATAATTATTAAAAAAAATAAATAAATAAAATTGTGGTTGAATGTGTTGTAATAGATGTGGGGAAAGGAACCGTAAAGTTATAAGAAATTATTAGGTGGTCCTGATCTATTTAATATTTGGTGGACTAATTCAATAAAAATTCTCCGATTATAAAACTTTGTAATTTATTAACACTCTTATGGGACTATTTTTTCAATCTGCAATTTATTAACACACTCTTATGAGACCATTTTTTTAATCTGAAAATTTATATTTAACTAATTCATCAATTATTAATGAACTAAAATCATTTAATAATTTTTCGTAAAGTTATTGTCCTCTTACACGAGAAATTACCATTGGATAAACCATTACATTCCTCTGAAATTTTCAAGTACATCAAAGCAATGTTATTAAGTACTCCCCCGGTTTCATATTTAAAGCCCACTTTGGGGAGGCACTCATAAAATTTTTAATATAGAACTGAAGTAGTATTTGATAAACATCACAGCACCTTACACGTTCAAGTGTAACTTCCATTATTCTAATATGCCACAAGCAACAATATTAATATTAGATTGATACATCAGAATATTTTTTATTCTTAATTTAATGGGGTTGAATTTTCTTTAATAAAACCTTTATTTATTGTGATTTATTATAATTTATTATTGTGTTAATTCGTATCATTATTTGGCCAAAAAGTTATAAATAAAGCATTAAATTTTGGGATTGGCAAAAGTTGACACGACTCGTCAACATAATTGAAACATGAGTTTGGGTTAATTTTAAACGAGTTTGGATCATAAACAAGTCAACACAATTAATTCGTTTGATTAATCATCTCGTGTTTGGGTTGAGGGGATCAACCCGTCTATACACGTTTAACTATATATGTCGTTAAAAAAAATTATTTAAGTTCTAAAATTAATATATAAACTTGTATCTTATAATTTAATCTTCTTAAATTAGAAACTATTTAGTAATTTGGTTGATTAAAACTTATATTTTTTTTAGTATTTATTATTTTATTGAGTAGTATTAATAATTTAAATTTTTTTTTTTTTTAGTAAATAGGTCATTAAACGGATTACATGTGTAACTTGTTTAATAAATAGGTCGGGTTAGTATTGAGAGTTTCTGACACGATTATTAAACGGGTCATGTTCAGATTGAACTGTTTAATATAATACCCTTAAATTGACACGGCACGATTACGACCCACGAACACAAATTACCACCCCTAATTAAATATATGGTCATATTTCATTTGTCATGAGTAAAAAGAAACACTTGTCTTTACATATCTCTTATTTCTTCCGCATAAATTTCACTAATATTACCATGTGTTCATTGACAATGAGACGTGGAACATCTTCCTAAGGTCTATAATGTGGAAGAAATTTCAACTTTAGTACAGAACTTAATATGTCTCTGAATCACAAAGGCTAATTTTCTTACTTTATCAAATTTAACTTTATTTTTATTCATATTATTGTAATCATATTGTTATTATGTTCAAGTATAGTTTACCAGTATCAATGTCAAATTTATGTTTTGAAATTGAGTATATAATATTCATTGCAATTCTTTCACTCATAATTGAAAAAATGATATTCGTTGCGAACATGACCCTTTAGAAACTATTTGTATTTAGGAAGAATCGATCATGATATTTGATATTTCATGAGATATCGGGGTCAGGTCTTTTCTAACTAAGCCAACCCCTTATGATGAAATTTATTTATTTTAAGTATTGTATTTTTTGTTACTGTTATGTTTTGAATTTATATTATAAGATTTATTTTTTTGAACATGTGAATTTATTGAATGAGATATATTTGTATATACTTAATTGTATATGAATGAAATATACAAAATTCCCCAACATTGGGTTCTCAATATAGCAGGATTAATAATGCTTTAATTCTACGGTTATTATACATATAATATTGGGGATGTTTTTCATTGATGACTATCAGTTTCATATTGGAGTTGGCCATTTATCAACAATTAAGCAATTAAATAAATGAGAATACTTAGCTATTCATCAGTGAGTACACATTTCCCTACTTTTTCAAATCAACCATTAAATAAACGTATGTTGTGTTTTTAGGTGTGAATTATTTTATTATTAAATGTGATGTGTTATTTTATTATTGGACCAAATAAGGGTGAATAGCTCTACTTACAAGTAAGTAACTAAGCATTATTCATGAATAAACTATACACAACCATGGTACTACTATTATTATTATTATTTTCGGTAAATAAATTTATTCAAACAAAGGAAACTGTAAAAACAAGGCACAAGCCATTATTCAAACAAGGAAACTGTAAAACACAAGTACACATGCACTTATGGATCCTTTACCCCTAACATGACTTGAACAATCGATTTTGTACCATCTAGACTAATGTCCGTTAGGTGACTGAAGAAGCTCCACATTATTATTGATCGAAAACGTAATTATGTCTCAAATTCAAGGCCAGATCCTTCCAATTTCATTGAAGTAATATGATCAAGTTGATCTTTCATCTTAGGAGTGAAGTTGTTCTTCCAATCCCCAACAACACCAAGCCTAAAAAAAGAACTCTTAGGCAACCCCGTCCATGGACTCACTCCATTCTTGTTCACCTCCATGTTCTTAAGCCTCTCCAAGCTACATGTCCACAACACCTTATCAATCGCTTCTTCATTCACAAAAGGCCTCCCAAGAAATGAGGCTAGCCTTTTCAACTGTCCTTTGGGGTCTCTTTTAAGATCTTCATACTTCAAGAATAGTATCTTGTGAGCCATCTTCGAGCTCTCCTTCCAGTACTGTAACCCATGCTCAAAGAAGGGCCCGAAAAGGTGAACCCCGTTACAGAAGCTATCGAATGCCTTGTCGAACGGATACGGCCCTTGTTCAGCTGTCCTGAGACTGTTGAAAAAATGCCATGTTGACACCAAAGTGTCCTTGGGGTTCCGGGTTATGTAAACAATCTTGCACTTGGAATTCTTGATTGAATCCGGTAACGCGTTGTAAGGCAAGTGAGTGTGAAAGAGTCTAGGAGATGACATACCTGAGAGATCAGGTGGTGCGTTTGTTGTGTAGACTTGGATTTCTAAGGTTCGTACGTAGGAAAAGGGGTGTTCGTCCACAAGAGGCTCCTCGTTGTCGTCGTCGTCGTCGTCGTCACTTTTAGCACGTTTCATGATGCAGAAACAAAGAGCTTTGAGCCAATTTGTGCCTGTTTTCATAGGGGATGCCAATATGACATCGTCGTCGCGTGCTTCAAAGTGTGATTGAACGGTTTTTGCAGCTTCAAGGTGCCGGGGTACGTACCAAAAACCTTCCCATTGGTAGAGATCCAAGCCTTCCCAGAAGCTTTCCTTAGGAAGCTGAGCAAGTAAAGGCTTTAGTGAAACAGAAGAGTGCATGAGCAGTGACTTTGTGGTTTCCATGAATTAGTAGTAGTAATTTAGCTAAGAGTTTAAGGTGGTGATGACCAAAGCTAGCTAAAAACATCAACAAGGGTAGTCTTCTATATCACGTGGTTGAGTGAGTCCATTTATATCTCGGGGAAGGGTAGTAAAAAGTTGAAATAGAGTAACAAACCTATCTTTGACTGAATATCTATTTACTCCATTACTATCTCTGTTTCATATTAGTTTCCGTCATCTCATTTTTAGATATCCAAAATTAGTTGTGAGTTTGGAAAGTCGAAACAAATAAGCCTTATCTATTTACTCAATTAATTGCATGTTCCCATAAAATCTCTAATTTTTAAATATGGATATCTATTATTATTTTCTCACATAATCGATGATAAAACTACCTTATCTCATATTAGTAGTCCATTATCTCATTTTTAATTGTCCCAAATTATTTGTCCACTCTGAAAAGTCAAAAGTAAATAAATCTTATTTTTACATCATTTTCTTTTATATTTTCAAAACAATTTTAAACTTGATAACTATGCATATTTAAATTAAAAAGAATTAATTAGTAATTTAAAAATATATATATATATTAATTACATATCCTTTTACAAACTCCAATTTTTAAACATGAACATTTAATATGGCTCATTAGTTAGGGAACCACTTTGATTTTGACAATATACTCTTTTTCTTTCTTTCTTTTTATTTATGTTGACAAAATATTCAAACGTTAGGAAATGAATTCTGCAGACGAATAATTGATGCTTTATTTTGACAAAATATTCAAACGTTAGGAAATGAATTCTGCAGACGAATAATTGATGCTAATAATGGACCCACACTAGGCGCAGACGAATAAATAATTGATGCTAATAATGGACACGAATAATTGATGCTAATAATGGACCCACACTAGGCGCAGACGAATAAATAATCGATGTTAATAATGGACACGATACGTGCAATATCAACGTAGCTGTGTACCAGTATGTTCCCCACTAGGAATATAAAAATTAGTTAAAGAGTTAATAATATTCAAGTTTCAATTAATTTTTTAAAAGTTACCTCTGGCACGGTGTCCTAGTTTTTCTCCACCTTCCTACCTTTTCTTTTTTGGTTTTTTTCTTGGCAAACCCGAGGACTCCAATTACCGATATACCCATTCAAATCAACCAATAATTTGAAGTTCTAGTTTTTCTAAATTTGTAATACTCATAATTTGAAGTTAGTTTCTTCCCTCGGTTTCAAAATAATCTTCCCTCGGTTTCAAAATAAGTTTCCGTTTTAAAAACTGTGACTTAAAAAATTTGAGGAACTATTAAATATTAAAATAATATTTTTATACTTTCCGCCTTAAACTTTAAATCATATTCAGCATTAAGCCATGTCTTAAATGTATCAAGCAATTATCGAGAAATTACCTAGAGGTAATATGTGGTTGCATTCAAACTGGAGCAACAAAAGAATTTTGTCATTAAGCTATTCTCTTAAAATTGACCTAAAACACCTTTTTTTTTCTCCAAAATAATCTAGGATTACCACTGTTGTAAAAAGTCTTGGATGGTTGTCTATTTTGGGCAGCTCAAAACTTAGCTTAATATTTGACATATTCTCGCATCAAACCCCTAATCCAAAAAACAAGAATTAATTGTCCAACCTCATCCGGGTTGGACTTGATTGGTAAAATGGGCCTGCATCTTGGGAATCAAGCAACTCCATCACAAACATCAGGTGAACACCAAAATTCAATAAATTTTTTTTGGAAGGTGAAAATTCAATAAATCTTCATAAAGAACTATTAACAATCTACAAGGCCCACAGCTGTGCTTTCATGAAATATAACTCGAATTATTTGAAAGGAATTAACCACCCTCCCATATTCATACAATCAGTATAGTAATTGTGGTTAAAAATTCTGCACACTATGTTTACAACGGCTTACCCGCAACATGATCAATCATCCTAAACAATGAACAAACTGACAAGAGACTGCAAATAATACTTCAGCCAACTCCCCCTCTAGCCGCGAATGGATGCATGAGGAACAGCAGGTAAACCCATTTCATCCTCAGCCTGTCATCAGATTGGCAAATGTAAATTACATAAAGATACAGTAAATGCACGACTCCACGGGAGATAGATATGTAAAAATACACGTTCCATTGCTCATTAGACTATATATTATTGTGGAAACAACCTTTGAACCCCAAAAAGTTGATGAGATGAATGCATTATGTAACAATGACCTGCAGATTCAGTTTAGACGGGTGTGTTACCCAGACGTACCTGTGTCAACACGACACGCTGTGGGTATGGATGAGTCCGGCACGCACACAAATCAGACAACTAGATCTTCCAATAGGAAGAAAAACTCAAATGTGATAACAAAGAAGTGTTACCTGTTTCTGAGATAGATGGAATCTCTCTTTTTTTCACCATATTCTATTTGATTTTGGATTACCATTGAGCATATTTTTCCTGTGTAATACTTTTATGTAACATATATTGTTTTTTAAGTGTGCAAGATGTGTTTACATATTTGTATCCAAGTTTTGGATGCATTTCAAGCCGAATATGTCCCCTACCCCTACGATTTTGGACTTAGTCTGATATTTAGACACGTAAGTATGCATACCCAATACAAGTACAGGAGTCCAAGTAACATAGTTTGATGGAAACGGCCAAAACTTGCAGGTCTTAAAGAATCATTATTTCCATTTTCGTGCACTCGTAGCAATTGAATAAACATCTTCGTATATCAAAAAAAAAAAATTACCTGGGTATTGGCTCTGCCAGGTGGAACTGCTGCATGGCCTGTTGGTGCCGAGGGCAAGTTGAGTTCTGATTCCAGGTCAGATTCCTTGTCAGGTTGAAGATATGAAGGCACCCCATCACCTTCAGTCTCCATTCCCATATCTGCTTCTAAAGCATCAAGCTCTGCATCACAAAAGCAGGAAGGATGAGGAAACAGCATACACAAAACCCAACATTAACATTCTGTGGCAAGGAACCTTATTTTATTGTGGACACTTTTGCTAACGAACTTCTATGCTTTCAAAGAGAACTTATATGGCATATGTAGCTCTTTTTCTCATGTATATAACTAATATCATAAATGGCTACCCCCTCTCACAACTAGTTAAGGAGACCTTATACATACATACATACATACATACATACATATATATATATATATATATATATATATATATAATTGTATATATCTCTTTTGTAATATATATAATATATACATGTATAACTGTGTTACACTCCCATTCCCATCAAGCTATCTGTGTCGACAAGATAAGACGCTGGATATTGGGTAGAGAGTATGTGCCAATAAAACCCAAAACAGACACCTCAATTCTGATGGAAAAAGAAGTAAATACTCAAATTTGATAGCAGAGAAGTCATCTGCTTCTCACAAGAGATAGATGGCAACCCTTTTCATTACCACATGACATTTAATTTAAATTCTAATTTGCATAAATCCATAAACTATTATAGGCATATAAGGTATTTTAATGTGCAATCAGTGATAAGGCAAGGAATTAATTCTAGTTTTGGACAATAATAAGATAAAGACTTCTGAACCAAAAATGATGAATGCAAAAACTTAAATATTGATTGGTACTATTTTAGCTTAATACTTGCTATTTCATAGACAAAAACAAGATTATATAAAAAATAAGGTTTCTAGTTTTTCTTTTTGGTAGTGGCAGCTGGCAGGTAAGACGCACACACGCACACTCACTAGTGCCCCAAAAGAGACTTGAACCCTTCAATTTTTTCTCTTTGTTTTTCTTCCTTCGGGAGAGATTGAGAAAGCCAAGGAGAGATCGATGAACAATTGGAGAGGACTTCTACAAGTTGAGAGACAATTCATAGTAACAAGGGAGAGAGTTAGAGCCTAGAGGAGGGGTTTGTTAAAAACGAGAGAAAATAGAGAAAAAGAAAGGGTTGTTTACAATAAAGAATAAAAGGGTTTGTCAGAATTTTGAAAAGTCCAATTTTGGAATGACCAGTATATATATAATTAAAATTAAAAAAATTGAGTAGGTGTGACTGCTCCCACTATGCCCCACCTAGTTCCGTCTCTGTGTGTAGCACTTGTCTAACTACCTGTACATAACTTTTGAACACATTACAAGTTGAATCCCCTTATCCTGAGATTTGGAATCCAGGAAAAATCCAACACACATAACCCGTAAACGTTACACGTAACTAAGTTCATGTAACATAAGGGTGCACAAAAAATAAATTTAAGCCTTTGCTTCCCACGAAAAGCATGAAGCACTAAGATTAATTAGAACTACTACTTTTTCTTTTCGTAACAATCTCCATCATATATCTTTCTCTTCAACATCTATGTTTACATATGAAACATGTTATTTTAAAAAACTATTAATAATATATCACATTTTCACTTACCGCCCATGAGGTCTTCCTCATCAATGTCATCAGGAACACTGTAGCTTCTACCAAGAGACTCTTGAATTTCATTGCTCACGTCCATTAGGTCCATCATCTCGTCTTGCAAGTTCTACAGATAAATAGAATCAACTACCCAGCATTAGAAAATTTCCAACGGAAGTCACAATGGAATGGAAAGAGCAGTCAAAAAATACAAACATCAACGTCTTCAATCTTCACAGTCTTCATCATCCCTTTCAACTCTTTGTTTGCTGATTTTAGAGCTGACATCTGGAAAGAAAGCAACAAAGTTGGTGAAGAAATTAAATAATTTATTTATTTATTTGATTCCCAAAAAGTGTCTCAAGGACACTTGTCTACTTATAAACTGAATATAACATGGAGTATGAGAATATCTACAATATGGATGAACCATGCGTTTCGGGGGAGGGAGAAATCCCTCCCCCATGACCAATGGGTTGTCCCCTAATTCTCATGAGATAGGCAGCAGGTTACAGAATATGCTCCACCTCACATGCATTAAACTCTTTACCCATGGGGCACTACCAAAGAAAACAACTAATTTAGATTTTAGGATGAATATCTTGTAGCCCCAAACTAATCATACTCATTCTAGCCAATGTGAGTCTCATTTGAATCGTCCACACTAAAATTTATCAGGAGAGCATAATCATCTGGGCCCATGTTGAAGAGAGTCCCATTATAAATTAAGGGCTGGAAAGTTTTTGTCTAGCCCCTCTAGGAACAAAAAATGGAAGGATGATTGAAATCATTAGATCAAGCTTATTTATGCCTTCACTGATTACTGATAAGCCCACAATTGTTACACCTGCATCCTGAATTTCAAGAGTATCAGATCAGATTATGGTCACACATTTTTACTCAAGCATGTCAAAAGCCCATCCCTGCCCTCGCACAACCTAGATTCCAAGAACAAGAAAGTAATGACTAATGAGGTAACCGTATTGCAGAATTTTCCACTTACACAACTATCATGATAGCCTAACATTTCTTGGTTGTAGAAGCCAAAAACTTGGAGGAATCCAAAGAGGTTATAAAGTAACTATTCAAGAAAGTAATAGTTAAAAAAGAAAACACATTTAAAAGCTACCCAGAACATACTGTTTGCTGAGCATCTTTAATTCCCTCGGCAGCAAATGAAACTTGATCTAGGTTGAAAGTCTGATTGTAAAGCATATCACGTTGTCCTTCATACCTGTACAGAAGTGAAAATGGGGTTGCATATATGTGACGGACAAATACAAGAAACAAATGTGCATGCATGAATGCGTATGCGCAAGCGCGCGCACGCATACCAATTGACCAAAGCTTTATAGATTAAGCTGTACAAGGAAATATAAGAACTCATTTTAGTAATTCCAACAAAGTGAATTCAACCCTAATGTAACCAGATGGTCCAAATAATAAAATTCTATCAATATTCAACCCTAATGACAATATTGGTTCCACATGGTTATATCTTGCAGGTTCATATAGCATGAAGTTACATGAGGTAAACATGAAAAAGTTCATTAAGTAATTAAGGTTCAGAATCAATTTATAATATTATTTTGAAGAAGTGAAAGGTCATTAGATTAACTTAAATACTTCCAAAATTGAATTTCACGAAATATGATTGAAAAATCTCAGCCGTATTCATTGCTTATGATACATACAAGACGAAATGTTTTGCCTGACACAGTACGTATCACCAATACATGTCTTATTTGAAATGCATAATACACCATGTTGTACAAAGTAATTTGCATACAGTGTGTGTGCAATATTTGATTTGTTTTGAAAACTTTAAATAAAGTGATTTTCTTAATACTTATCACACAATTTTTCTGAAGACCACTTCAAGAGAATCAAAATCTTCCAATCAAAGAAGCTCAAATAAAAAACTGGAAACTCTATTTCATTTTCTTTTACAGAATTCTCTCCAATTACCGATATCCAATGCAAATTACTATTCTCTGTAAACAGTCCAAAACAGGCGCAAAGAAAGAACAAATTTAGAGAAGAAAACCTTGCAGATGGTTCATTTCAAGGCGTGGGACCTTGGATCCTGCCTAATCAAGTTTTATTAATACTTAAGTCCCTTTTTACATTTCTTTCAGGATACCATGTTGATTGATTGTTTACTTTTAATTCTACTTTAGGAGTCGATGACAGTTTTCTTCAACTTTAGGAGCCAATGGCAGTTTTTTTCATTTCTAAATTTTCTCAACACAAGCTGTAATGGTGATGAATGATTCTTTTTTCAGGTTATGGTGTTTGATCATTACAAGCAATTGTTTTAGTAGTTCTAAAATTGGTTTTTCTGGTCAAAGTTTCCAGAGTCTTTAAAATATAAAGCTGAAGTCCAACTGTCATTAGAATTAGAAGTACCTAGATAGCTAGAAGTTTATACATTTCTATGTAACACCTCAAAAATGAAGAAAAACTTTCAGGAACTTTAAAGCAGTTGTGTTTTTTTTTTTGGATTCTGTGACGCAATTCTAACAATCAGAGTATGATGCCATGCCTAATGATTACTAGGATGTTCTTCTACTAATACTCTTTTTTTTTTTTTTTTTTTTTTTTTTAGCTTTTCAATTTTTGCAACTCATAAACCTTTAAAATATACAACCACGCCTTGTTAATTTTTACCATATTCTATTCCCTAAATCCTGCTTGACATGATCAACCTTTACCCAATCATTCAACCTTAGCACACAAAAGGAATGCGAGGTAACCCTGTTGCTCACAGTCCTTAACCTTCATCTTTCCATGCATGATTGAACCCAAACACTTTCTCATCTTACATCGTTACAACCCTAAATTGTGTAATTTTCAAACCTTTAGCCACAATAACAATAATCAACCTCAAAACCCTCTTCATTGCTGTCCTACATCAATTTTAATTTGTCAAAGAGTGTTTCTTTGCACTTTTCCAGTTTTCCCACATTACCCTCTTTCTTTTTGAATATTAAAAGCACATTATTAAGTATCTCTCATTGCATGCGAATTTCAACAAACCTAAAGTACACAGTTGGCATACCGTGAATCTGTTAGTACATCTATAGGAAACATAAAGAAGATGACCTACATTCTTTTTTGCTTGAGAACCCTCATAGCTCTAGCTTTGACAGCTTCTTGAGCAGGACCTGGTCGTGTCTTTTTGATCTGTTCTTTATATCTAGCAAGTTCACCATCAAGCCTTTTTATCTTCTCATCCACTGTTTCACCTCTTTTGTTTATCTGAATAAATAAATAAAATAAGAACATAATTTAGACATTTCTTCAGAGTTCAGAGTGATAAGCCATGGGATTACAAAGGCAAGAAATAATTAAATCACAAAGGAACATAAACAGAGTGAAAATGTCATTCAAAAACTGCTTCGAGTGACATGAATACAGTAAACGAAATTTCAAAAGGGAAAACAATATTATAAGCAATTATAATATTATTATTTAAAAACAATCCCTAAACAAAGGGTAAAAGAGAAGATCTTTTCCAACTACTGTTAGAAGAAAGCAGACTTACAATTTGAAAAGTGAAGAAAATTTATGTGCAGATATTGCAGCCGAGGAAGGATATTCCTTTTCAAAAAAAAACAAACAAGCAAAGAAAATTCTTCCTGTCTTCTCCAAGATTTTTCATGCATAGGAAGCTGAAAAGGTGAAAATCAAAGTGGTCCATAGTCACTCCACACGGTTACCAAGGTTTATAGATTATAGGAACAATTCTCTTACAACACAACTAATATGGATTGTCCAACCAAAAAATCAGTCCTTTAGTACAGCTCTTTTTTTTTTATAAGTAGTACAGCTCTTAAGGTTAGGCTTAATTAAAAAAAGCTTCATTTCTTGATATGAAATATTCATGGCACAGATTGATTAATAATACCTCGAAATCCAAAGTCATTGTAATAATGTGTTAAAAGGGAGGGTTCAAAGGGAGGATCAGGTTAAGTTTCTTGAGAATAGAGGCTAAAGTGTTAGTTGGACATCTAAAGGGAGGATGGGGTTAGGAGACGATTTTTATTGTTATCAATAAAAAGTACCTGGAAAACCGAAGGTAAGTGGCAATATTGAGTTTATTCAAAAAAAATATATCATTTTTTGTTGTGCCTGGACCATATGGTAAGAAGATCAAGAGTAAAACTAATGGCGGTGTTAGGGGGTCCAAGGAAATGCAACCGCCGCCCCGCGGGGGGGGGGGGGGCACTAAAGTGCTAGTTGGACGTCTAAAGGGAGGATGGGGTTAGGAGACGATGATTTTTATTGTTATCAAAAAAAAGTACCTGGAAAACTGAAGGTACGTGGCAATATTAAGTTTATTCAAAATATATATATCATTTTTTGTTGTGCCTGGACCATATGGTAGGAAGATCAAGAGTAAAACTAATGGCGGTGTTAGGGGGTCCAAGGAAACGCAACATTTGAATCAAATTATTGGTGCAATGTTCCAAACACATTTTCTTGGCCATTGCGCTTTGTCATTATAAAAGGAGATGGACCTTCCATCATTCTGGGTCAATTTCTTCAACCAGTATCTAATGTAGGCAACTCATAGATGAACTTTTCATCCAAGAGTAGGGTTCCTTCATACTCTTATTTGGGAACTCTTTAGTTGGACGTCTAAAGGGAGGATGGGGTTAGGAGACGATGATTTTTATTGTCATCAAAAAAAAAGTACCTGGAAAACTGAAGGTACATGGCAATATTGAGTTTATTCAAAATATATATATCATTTTTTGTTGTGGCTGGACCATATGGTAGGAAGATCAAGAGTAAAACTAATGGCGGTGTTAGGGGGTCTGAGGAAACGCAACATTTGAATCAAATTATTGGTGCAATGTTCCAAACACATCTTCTTGGCCATTGCGCTTTGTCATTATAAAAGGAGATGGACCTTCCATCATTCTAGGTCAATTTCTTCAACCAGTATCTAATGTAGGCAACTCATAGATGAACTTTTCATCCAAGAGTAGGGTTCCATCATACTCTTATTTGGGAACTCTATGCCTCATTATTCCTCTTCTCCCCATGATAGGTTTTATACTTCCACTTCATTTTTAGAAGGAATAAGAAAAATGATGTAGTTTTTAAATTTGATTTCAAGACAATTGCATTTTTCTACTTTATTATACACATTTTCTTAATAATAGAGAGAGCTAGCCATATGATTCAAGAATTATACATTTAACAGCCCTTTGAAGACTATTGCAATTAAAAAGTAAAAACTCCCACATAAAAGCTAAAATTTGACACAGACAGAAATACCATGTTTCAATGTGGACACCAGATCTCAACATTGGCAGTCCCTAAAAATCAAAATAGAACACAAACAAACATATACATTTATCTCGCTAAAGTATGTCTACATATTCAAACAAATCATAGAAGATAACAGTTAGCAATATTAACTACATAGAAAGGTTTTTAAGAAAAGGCATAACACCCAATAAGCATCGGCACGATTGTTGGAGACAAGGACTCGACGTCATCTCAACATGTCTGACATGCACTAACAGAGAAACAATACATTTCACGATTAAGCTATCCTTACATGTGAAGTTAGTCTTCAATCTTAGATTTTTCGCTAGTCAAGACTCAAGTTTATCAAATTATTCAAGGACAATGGTTAGCTTTATCTCTCAAAGATTTAAACATATATCAAATTATTCAATATTTGCAACAATTTAGCACCAAGTCAACAACCATATACTTTGTCAAAATTAACATTGTGCATAACACAAAAAAACATATATTGGGTTTCCAAACCAGCAATGCCCCGATCAATGTAGATGCAGGTACCCATTTATACACCTGAGAAAACATGTACAAACTACAAAATCATAGATTGTTGTATTTGACAAGCAAGACAGTCTCAACAACAAGCATATACCCAGAAGCAACTTCACATCGAAAAATATCAAATTTATGCCTCTTAACAAAAATGCACAACTTTCTCTGCTCATCTACACGTCAAAGATTATATACATATGCATGACCTTAATCTCCAATATTGGGCTCTAGAACACAAAAAATCATAAGATATGCCAATCGTTAAGAAACACCCATATGAGTATCATATACGAACCCTAATTTGAACACATAAAAAATTTCACCAATTCAATTGCAGTAACAATAGAAACAATAAGTGAATATGAGTGTGTGTGTGTATATATAGAGAGAGAGTGTGGACCCGATCGGAGGCGTCTTGAACGGAAGGAGGGGGTTCTTTGTCTTTCTTAATGCCGAAGACTCTCTTCATCTTTATTCTTCTTCTTCTTCCTCCTTCGTTGTGATTTGGAGAAGGGTCTTATTGATTGATCGATCTGATGATCGGAGATCCAACCGCTAGAGATGGTTTAGATGATCGAATTGTAAAGTCGTCTCTCTGACTTCGTTTACAAGGAAACAGAGAAAGTAGCTTTCCAAGTTAATAGCGCGGATGATGATGATGATACGAGAGTATCTAACAGAGCAGGCGTGTCCGACACGAACAATGGAAATAATCTAGGCCAAGCCTACCATTGCTTTTAGATAATTATAAATAAAGTCCTGCTATTTATGTCGACAAATAAAAATTTATTACTTTACCGTGGATCTCCTTTTAACCTATAAGGTAATTAATTATTTTAATTTTCATTTTAATATAAGTATCTTTCATCTTAATATAATATATTTGTACACGATTAAAAAGTTTCAACCACCATATATATTAAATTATACATATCCACATGGGTAACAACTCTGGAGACATTTTAAATTGTATGTCCTATATATAATTAGATTGTGTATACCATTCATCTATTACTTTCATTGACATTTATTAGTTGATATAAGGATCAAAACTAATTATTTATATAACTATAGAAACGAAAACAATGAGAGGTGGGTGTGGTGTGATAGTCCAGTGGTAGGGTGTTGGTACAGCGTGCTTGTGGCCAAATGTCCCTATCCCATATACATGTCAGGTCCAAAAAACAAAAAAAAAAAAAGAAAAATGAGAGTCATAGAAAAATAAATATTATGGAAAACTGAAAAGATATGGATGGAAAGTAAACATATTTTATGGAAACAAACTAGAATAGTTTTAAGTTGGAGTAATAAAGTTGTCAATAATATTATTTTTTTTATAAATATAATAAATAAATATTATTAACAAAACAAAATTGATAATTTTTTTATATAGTTTTTTTTTTCTAATTGTCCAGTGAGTCTGGTAAATTAAATTACTACTGTAACTTAATTAAAAATATATTATAATTTTTTTAGTTGTATTTTTTATTTTTTATTTTTAAAAATAAGCTTTGAACTGTCCTATGCATGTTTCGCCTTATCGACCGGTTCATAATTCTTTTTCAAAGGTCCGATACTACTACATACATTTATAAATCGATCAGTTCAGCCGATTTATACCCATATTCGCCCGAGTCCGTTACACAACGATAGCGATCGATGCCGTTACTGTGAAACATGACCCTATGTTAGTACTTTAGAAAATTAATTCACTGAAATTGTGTATAGTGTCTTACATATTTACATTCAATTTTTAGAATCTTTACAGTAGGTTGGGCGGTTTGGACTAATTGTATAGCGGTTTGGTCCGGTCCTGGACCTAAAATTATGAAACCGTAATTTTTTAGTTTGGTCCTGGTTTGGGGTCCTGCTGGACCGACCCGACCCGACCCGGACCAAACCGTTATATAACTTCATAGTGATTAGTGAACTAAGTCTATATACTTTTAGCCATGGCAAGAAATAATTATGATAGTTAGGGACTTAAAACATTAGCTATTTTGTACTTGATCTCTCTAGTTTTTTGAAATTTTGAGTTAGTTTTTTTTTTCTTTTCCCAATACCTCATAAATGGTAAACAAGGAATGCTATATTTTTTTTCCTTGTGGTCATCTGGTCACTGTCTGTTTGTTTCTTCCATATGTGCCTGATATTATTGACAATGCGTATATGATTGTTATATGGTCACTGTCCTGATGTATTATATACAGGAAAAAATAAGAGATTTTGTTTTTTTAAAATAAAATAAAATAAAAAGAAAATCAACTTAAACCGACAAACCGAACCGAACCAAACCAGTTTTTCACGGTTTGGTTTGGTTTGGTTTCATGAGTATTATGGTTCGGTCTGGTTTCAAAAATAATGGAACCGTTATAAATGATTCGGTCCCAAAAAACTTCCAATCCAATCCAAACCGAACCGTGTATATCCCTAGTGGGAATAACCTCAATGCAGCTATAATTGCATATCATATCATATTTTTTTCCCAACTCAGGCATCACAACAAGGCCCTTACAGCTCACTGCAGTGCTGAAAAGCTCCTCGGAAATCAAAAGATCGTGCAAATTTCTTAAAATAGCACGTAAAAAAATTTGGAGAGAAAATTCATGTAACCGATCCCATTCATATGGATGACTAAGGCAAGGATAAGGATGATCTTTTAGGGCTGAAACAATGTGAATGCAGGGCTGAAACAATTTGAACGCACTCCGCTGCAATCAACACTAGCAGGCATTTTTTAATTTTTGCGTATGTAACAATTCCTGCTCGCTATGCACAGATAATCTATTTTATTAGTGTGTGTACTTCCAAAATTCTATATATCAAAAGGAAGGGATACTCTGTTTTTATTGTGAAATTCAGTTCTATTGGTCTTGTCATCCACACCCTATAAAATCTCATCAGAAAACATATCACATAATTATTATTACTTTTACAACAAGGAAAAGGGAATAATTAACATAAGAAAGAGTTACTCACCAAAAAAAACAAAACATAAAAGAGAGTCTATCTCACTTTTTAGCATAAACTAGATTAAGCTTTTAGCCCAAGTTGTCTCCTTGTCTTCCCCACATACAAGTCTCTGGATTTTATCATGCCAGGAATGCATCCAATGATAGTAATTGAGAAAATTTGTGCCACTGCATCTTTTCTACCGAGCGAAACAATTGCCAACGGTGAAGCAGGCTTATAAGTAGCCATGCAGCACTCCTTTCCTCCCATTATCAACAACTTCAAATTCTTGGCAGCCACCAAAGCATGTCTTTGTGCCAAATACCCTTGTTTGATTTCCTGAGTAGGAGCATTTTGTCATCAAACAGTAATAATCTCTTAAATGTGGGAAAACATATATGTGAAAAAAAGTCAAGAACGAACCAAAGTGATAGGGTTGTAATGCCTGATTTAACCAATCAAGAAGATCTACAACTGGTCTGGTTCAATTTAAGTTTGGTAGTGATCAAAACTAATAAAACAGTTTTAGTTTTGCAAGTACTGAAGGGCCTCTGTAACTAATAGGAATTGTGGATACATGGACTTGCTATCAATTAGATAATATAATTAATGTAATCTTCTTGGCTGACAAAATATTACTCAAGGTAACTACCATTTCATTTTTTAAAAGTATCATTGCATTCCTTCTGTGCATCAACTATTTGTTTCATAAAAGGCTATTACTATTACACCTCGGATGAAAAACAGTACATAATGAAATCTTAAAGTACCCCTCAACCTCTTAATTACCCAGTGCATATTACACCCGGATGAAAAACAGTACATAATGAAATCTTAAAGTACCCCTCAACCTCTTAATTACCCAGTGCATATCCCCCCTAACATCTATGATGAGTGCCAAAAGAGGAAGACCAGATACATTCCTGATCTTTTGGCATCATTTTGCATATAGTGACTACTTATCAGAAAAAAAATTGCACATAGTGGCTGCTCTTTACTCAAACCAGTGACCTCATGCCTGTCAGTCCGAGCTTTTACCATCAAACTAAGCAATGATCCCCTGCCCTCTTAATTAGTTGGGGATAAAAAAAGACAGCCAGACAAAATGGTTTGTTTAGCATTTCAAATAGAAGATGGCATTACAAAATCAATTTCCAGACCATCAAAAGATAAATATCTTATTATAGGGAAAAGGAATGGATATAATTAACTCAACTTCATATTGGATAACTAAGGAAGGAAAATAGAGTAATGGATCATTGTAACCTCTTCACTTGTTTAAGAAAAATAGTGAAAGGAAATAAATGTTTTGTGTTAATGAGTGGAATGATAACTTGTCATAAAGTAGTAACAGAACAAGTAATTGCTAACTCCCTTATCATTATCCTCTGTTCCTCCCACCCACTTGTGAAAGGATACCCAAAACACTATTAAGGGGTTAGCAAGCCCCTCCTCCTCCCTCCTATCACTTTCCTTCTCATCTTCGTTTTAAACGTCTCCCCCCTACCCTCCTTTCAAGTCTTTCAGTTCAAATGCCCTCTTATACGTATATACTGCAATTAATTCATAAGTGTAATCTTTTATCAATAAGAAAGAAAAAAGAAAGAATCCTTAAATGTTATGTTTCAAACAAATAATGTATAAAACCCAAGAAGATTAAATGAGATGGATAAAAAAATCACTTCCAATACATAAAAGATGTACTCTCATGTGCGGGTATTCATAACTAAAGATGTACAAAATCATTTAATTAAACTTTCACTGGCATTGAGGTACGGATGTTGAGTAAGCTGTAACCTAATATTTTGATATACACACACAGACTCTCTCACACACACAGAAATATATATATGTAAATACACATATTTTCCAATAAAGAACACACTTATATCTCATGGTATGTAGAATTCCTACCATTAGGCAATAAATTTTTTGGAGGCCCTATTGTGAAAATTCTTTCATCTTTTCAGGGTGATAGATGTGGAGAATTATTTGTGTAGAAAATAATATAGATCCTCATACTAACAAATTCAGTAAGCCAAGTAGAATTGTATGAATTAACCATTAACTCGAGTAAATATATATATATATATATATATATATGATAGGAAAGGAAAGTTTCGGATGAACTTACAGGAATATCAGTGATATCCCCAATACCGAAGATGTTATTGTGACCCTTGACCCTCAGGCATGCATCAACCATTAACCTTCCATGAATATCCAAGCTATTCTTCAAAATGGTTCCCTTAAGCCAAGATGAGCCCATTGGCTTGCCCGTGCAATTAAAATGGCAATCAGCTGTGATTGTTTCTCCACCAGATGTTCGATAAATACCATCCGATACAGAGTTCAAGTCAACAGATTGCCCCAAGATGACTTCCACTTTCTTTGACGTTAACCAGTCCAGCGTCTTTTTGGCAGCCTCGGATCCAATGAATTCCAACAATCTTGATCCTCGATGCACCAGTATTACCTTCTTACTAGGAAAATCCACAGCAATTTCACCTGCAAGTTCTACACCAGTGGGCCCTCCTCCAACTATCAATATCGATTTAGCGGATTTTATCTTTTCGTGCTCTGCAAACACCGAAAAATAAGACTGAACTTGATGCAGAATTGAAAAAAACAGCTGAATCTGACAATAAGTAATACAGTAGAAAGAATTTTTTTTGAAATGTGGATGAATGATTAGATGAAAAGAGTATTTCTGGAAAGGATAACTTCAGTTGATTGATATCAAACTTTCAGCATACAGCAAAATATCTCCCTCTTCAATGTTTGACTAGGCATAAAAGTGCAAATGCCAACTGGATTTCAGATCTTACTGGAGTTGCAATCCAAGAATGGGATTTGAATCTTCTTTCAGATGTTAAATTACAAAGTTACCAGTATCAGATTGAACACAACACATGATTCGATCAATTGATAGCACAACCGCCGAGTCTAAAAAATTGTCCCAAAATAAGAACTAGAATTTTTTATAGTGCATGAATGGGTGTAAGGATAGAAAATTACGGGCCTATGCATTTGGTCCAAAACTATTTAGTAAATGTTCCTACTCTGCAACTCTGTTTATACTCTTTATACACATGATTGATATCGAGTCACCTCAAATTTAGTTCAGCAACCTAAATCCATATGGTGTGTGGGTATAATATCATATCAAAGAGAAATCATGCTTCAATGCATTGATTTTTGATAGCACAAAATGAAGGAATTATTTTCGAACAGAGAATTAGAATTTTAATCTCTGCACACCCAATGATTCGTGACCGTAAATCTATAAAAGTAATGAACCAAGAAATAAATCCAAGTATAGAATGTTGGATTTTTATGCACTCCGTGTATTCACCTGTTTGATACTGACTAATCTTCTGGGTTCTAGTATGGGCATCATTGTCCATGTGACCTGTGGCAATCACAAGATAATCATACACAACAGAACATCCTTCTGCAGTTAATACTTCACTTTGAGTTATGTTGGTTGCAGCAGATGAGAGAAGATGGACATTAGGAAGGTATTCACTGTGGCTAATGACTGATCTTTCTGCAAAAGACGGCTCAACCAGTGATCTCAAGCTTGCCCATGAAATCTCAAAATACTCCTTCCTGTTGTAACTCAAAACATAAATAATATAAATTGAATGGATCAAAAGTAAAAAAATGAAAACCGAGATTTTTGGAATATTCTACAAAGATGTCTAACTTTTGAAGGACAAGATCCTTTTATAATTAGTTACAGTTGCAAATTTCTGTTGATGGGCACCCTAAATAATACATCAAAGTATGTGAGGAGTAAATCTAGACCTAGGGGGAGAGTGAATACTTAAAGAATTTAACTGCCAATAACAGCTTTTTAAAATTCTTCAGTTCTAATTGTTCAATTTTTAATCATGCAATTTTGATCATGTGTCTCAATATCATATGTTAGTTCAAACACATAAGCAACAGACCAAAAATAAACAGACATCAAGATCTACATAGAAAACCCTAGGTATCAAATTCTACACCCTAGAATCACCTAGTTACCACTTATCTAGTCCCACGCATGATATTCTCCCTTGAAACTCAACTTGATCAACAACATTTGTTCCCCTCGGTTGTTCCTCTGCTCCGTGTTCATCAATAGTACCCAGTTGATTGATGTTTGATAAACTTAAATTGACTCATTACTTTGGTTCCATCAATCACATATGAAATATGGTGGATTATATAAAACCCTAAATTAAATATCAAAACTTTATGGTGCATGTGCCCGATTGTGGATTATGGGGTGCTCTAAGAGGCCCGACACCAACATCATCGAAGGAAAAATATAAAACCCTAGATTGAATATCAGAACTTTATGCTTTCTCTCTATATATTTCTCAATTCTCTTTCTCTGTATCACCATAGACTGACTATAAGCATGTGTTAATAGCCAATATAGGAATCCTAAGCAAAATAGGAAATGCCTATCAATAAGATTGCTTACAGATGGCCGATCAATCGGGCCTCAGGTTCAACTGATCAAAGTACACCAGTAGCCACTGATTGACAAGATTGATTGATTGGGCTTTTGATCGTTTGATTCTGTTTTTGATTTCAAAATTCTAACAAGTGCTGGACCGATCCACGTTTGGGTTTGATTGAAGTTCCCTGTTTAAATACTTAAGATTATTTTAATGTAAATGTTTATTGATCAGACTTAGGTCATGGGTAGTCCAACTATATAATAAATTAAGCCACCGAGATACCTAAGTCAATTAAAGTCTCATTTGAAATTTACCAAACCATGTGATTGATTTTAGTGAAACGCTCCATATGATCTTCAATGTCACTGCTTCTTCATCATCTTCAATTGTAAACAAATGACTCACCCATAGACATTTTGTTAAACTACAACCCAGTTTCATATAAGAGCTTGCGAACACATCTTAGTTTCCCAAAACCACCTTGTACCCCTACCCTCATTGAGAGAGAAGAAATAAAGAAACTAAGTTACTGGACAACATGATTATAAAAAAATTATTTTACGGATAATAACAGGAAATAGGTCGACACCTTCGACCTATTCATAGTTTTTGCCTCTCCTTTTAGTTAGGGCTGGAAGAGAGACTGCCATACCAATCCCTAACGAGGCATTATCACATTAACCAATCAAACCACAAATAAGCAATGTTCTTGACCTTTCTTCATTCACAAATTACTCCTACTTAGTTACCTTGTCAGACAGTCCATTCCATACTCCAGAGTGACCAACAGAACAAATATAAGACTATCTTGATGAAATTTACTTGTCAATAATGGCAAAAAACACTCTTGACAAACAATATTCAATCTTCATTTTCCTACAGTCTAAAAAACCCTATAAAAAAACCTTCCTTCAACATTTTGCATATGTTCCCGGCTATAATCTCTAATCACTACAAAAACAACTTCTCAATCTTAAGTAATTTCCAGCCCCATAAATAAAATGAAAATAGAAATTAAATATGTCCTAAGTATTTGCAACCTACAGCATATTTATGGCCTGATTTAATACCCTGCCCAGCCCATTCTCTAGTATTCTTTAGTGCTACTGTACCAGAAGCATTAAATTAGGGCACATCTGGAAGTCTCTTAAATATGAATGGCCCTGTTCCACTCTAAATGGCGTTTACATACAATTGGGCTACTAAAAAATGTAGGACATTAACACCATTCTCAGTTTTCCTTAAGAATGAAAAATATATATATCAAGATCTTCTAACATCATTGTGAAATGGTTGACATTTCCTCTACTAATTCCACAACTTGCTCAAATGACATAGATACGCTCGCTAACCTTGTTAATTCACCACTAATTTGACTGCAAAATATATAACTGATTATTTCACCTGGGTGCAGATATATACAAACTGAACCAAGACCTTTGAAACACAACTAATACTTCACTTGAGTCTAACAAATAAATTCATTGTAAATAATTTTCATAAACTAAACAAATTTCAGTAAAAGACGTTTAAAACCCAAATTTATGGAAATCTCGGATTAGAAAATGTTGTCTGTACATTTTAAGTGAAGTTTGATGACTAGAAAAAATTTCACAGATCCAACAACAGTGTTCGTTCCAATACACCCTGGGTCCTTTATACAGCAATATTTATTATTAAGAAGATCATTACTGTTGCTTAAAAACTTGTTAACAGGAAAAAGATCATATTATGTTTTGACCATGGATGTGCCAATGTACCCTTTTCCAGGTCTTCACACAGTTATGGTTGGTTGATCTTCAAGCCATTGTAATGGTTTGTTTGAGGTTTCGGAATTTGGAGAGGTTTAGAATGTAATATTTCAATTTTCATATGCTGGTGCAGGAATAGGATTTGGACGATACAGTGGCATTCTATGGCACTCTATGATCAAATTGTGTGAACAACAAGATGATGCACTGAGGTTGATTCAGTCAAGGTAGTGGTTAAGAGGGTTTTGCTTGGAAGCTACTTGACAGAGTAATGTGCATTGCAAAGTAGTTGTCTTTGGACAGAGGTATGTTCTTGGGAGGATCTTGACCATGAACAAATAGGAGCAAAAGTGATCAAAAGACTTTTGGTTATCTTTTCGCAATTGTGCAATGGTTACAGACTTGTTGGCAATTTTATTTGCTCCCTCTGGGCTTCATTTGGTAATACCAAGATTGATGGGGAACGTGCTAACTGCTAACTAGTTTAAGAGGTGGTTGAGTGGGGAGGAAAGTTTAGAACATGTAGCAGGCAACATCATTATGTGGTGCAATTTGGGAGGAAGAAATTGGAGATTCTTTGAAAAGTGGATCCCTATTTTGGCTCTCATTTTGTTTCCTCTGTTTTTAAATTACGGCTAACTCTTTGTTGTTGATAGATTCTTTTAGGACAAAGATAAAAATATAGTCTGTATGGTTGCCTTGTGCTTACATCATGGAACATAAGAGTCCCCCTTAGGGGTTTTAATGAATCCATTCATTAATATATGAAACAAATAAATAAATAAAAGGCCAAATAAGTTATGATGGATCCAACAAATTCCTGGGACTTTGGTTATGATTCAAGTTATGTATGCAATGCACCCGATACCACAACACCATTACTGCAATTAATACCATGCTTTTAATCTTGAGCTTGCATTCTTATTTTGTGAAGCTTCTATCCTGGCAACTCTTCTCTTTCAGTAGTTTGAAATACAGCGCTCCATTTAACAGAAGTCATGAAGCATCCCTTAGGCGTGTATAATAATTCTGGGAATCAAAATTTTCTCCTGTTACTGAGTGTCAGGTTTTACAAATCATTAAATGCTGTACAGAATCAATAACTTCAACTCTTATTGTTCCACACTGTCAACCATGTATTATATTGGTGTAGCAAACAAAAATATTGAAAAAGGATATAGAACTGCTTCATGAGGAGATCTCCCTTGAACCTTCTCATCTACCCCTTCTGCCTAATCAAATTGCCTGGCTTGTAATTTTAAATTGTCTTCTTATCTAACCCTTCCATTTTACTGCCATAAACTTTTTTAAGCCATAATTCTTTCTATTTTTTATCGCGTTAGTCACCCAAATACACAGCTTAACATATCCATCCACTTCTCCGAAATTTCTGCACCCTCCAAGTATTTTCATCATGCTTTATCAATTCTCTCCAATGTTGCTTCCTGTCACATATACTACCTCCATATATATATATATATATATAAGATTGTATTAGAAAGCATTCAAACGGGGAAACATCCTGCAAAAGCTACACAAGGACCAAATAGGGCCCCTAAACTCTTAATATGTCTGAACAATCAACCATCTCCCCCATGGATTTACAATTTCTCCCAAGAACTCAACAAAAAAGAGAACTAATAATATAGAACTTATCGCCCCAATAAGAGTCTCCTCACCATCAAAGGATCTCCCATTCTGTTACTTCCACAAGCACCACCAAACACACAAAGGCGCTACCCTCCAAAAGTTACTGCTTAAACTACCTCCATATATATTCTCATGAATAAACAAGCTCTTCAACGGTGACTCTGCATATCTTCCTTTTACATCAGGGAATTATGTATTTTACTCTACTTTCATCCTTAAGGGAATGGATCATGAATTACAAATTTTCCAAACATTGTCGTTCTTGCCCATTGCAACAGCATAATTCGTTCTCAAAATGCCTCCACCCACCTAGTTCATCATTTACAAATATTTTCACTATTCTCAATTCTATATTAAATTAAAGAAAAAGGAAAAATTAAACACACTGGTTTAAATTGAGAGGGCAGCAATCCAGCCCATTTTATAGTAACTGAACAAAAACTACTCCCAAAAACCTCATAAAACAAACATATTCAGTAATGTGACAGGAAATAAAATTCCAATACAAAGCTACCTAAAAAATCAACATTTTTTGCAAGCTCAGCTCGATTCAATTTTTCTTCAGCATTAACAACAGAGTATAAAAAATTAAATTAAAAAAAAAAAAGGGACTTTTAAAGAATAGATTGTAGAGAGCATAAAAACTTACAAATCGATGAGAACAACATCGGCATCGTCTTGAAGGGTTTTGGCAATAAGAGAGCCCGCAACTCCCCCTCCAATCACCACCACCCTATTCTTCTTCCTTCCCGAATCTTCCATTGATGATTTCAACTTCAACTGAATTCGCAATTGAGAGAGCAACAAGAGCTCAAACAACGAGAATGAGAGAAAATTCAAACCCTAATAGTTCTAATGGTATAATAATCAGGGAATATAATTAAATACCTTGTAAAGAATATATGTGTGAGTTGTAGGACAAGAGAACGCAAATAAGCAAAAAAATGTAGAAAATTTGTAGAGAGAGAATGCGTTTATAGAGAGAGAAGGTGGAATTCATCTACACAGACGAAACCAGTAGGCTTCTCAAAACCCAGTAACGTCATACTATGTATTATTCGCTGTGAATCATCCATTTGTGGCCGTTTGGCGGTTTGGTGTCCCATTGAAATGACGAATTCTGAAAATTAATTTGTTAATTTGCCGAAATAATAAAACAAACATATTGATTTTTTTTTTTTTTTTTTTCCGAAACATTTTGAATTTAAATATTTACTTTTATAAGCCTGTTGAATCTATATAAACTCTAAAAAATTGTAAATATTCACGTAGACTCTAAAAAAATATAAATAAATTATATACATTTTTTAAAAAAAAAAACAATAATTAATTTATCCGTATGCCTATCTACTATAATCCTAGTCTGCCATGTACGTGTCAAAAGTAATTTTTATTTATATATACATCGTTATGAATAAAATAAATATCACTTACAGCATACACATTTTGTAAAAATTTAATTGATTCATTGTCTATCTATAATTCTATTTTATATTTATTTGTTATAACTTCTTCTTCTTCTTCTTTATTTATTTATTTTTTTTTGGATAAGTGTAAAAACAAAGACTCTATCATATACACAATGTAAAAATAGCTCAGTGAAGCTCAAAAAAAAAACTCCCTACCAGAGTGTTGTAAATTTAAAATTTGAAATATTTAAAATATTTTAAGCCTTGAAATAAAAAATAAAAAAATTAGTTCACTTTTAATTTCACCAATTTCAATTTTTAATTTCCAATTCCATGCAGTCGGACATAATGATAAAATAAAAATAAACAATAATTTCATGATTAGAGAGTGATTATTAACGATACTTTGAAGTTTTTATATATATAAAAAGTTGTTTAAAATTAACCGAGATATTAGGGAGCAATTTGCACATATTTTAAAATGTTGACAATTTTTATGCACCCACTGAAATAGTATAAGTGGTTTTTTTTTTTTTTTTTTTTTTTTTTTTTTTGCACATTTTTATATAGTTGGCTTTTTTTGCACTTTACTCTTCCTCTTTTATATACTCTCTCTATCCCAAAATAAGTGTCATGCTTTTTTTTTGTCAGTCCTAAAATAATTGTCCACTTTTTTAAAAAAAATAATATGTTTCACATCTTTTCATATATATCTTTGGATTAAAAATTTCAACTTGAATATTCAAAACTTAAAAGGACAAATTAGTAACTTTCCAGGAAAACAGTACATGTCCCCTTAAAAATTACTATTCCCAATAAGCGACACTTAAATTGGAACGGTGGCTGTTACCTATGCAGGACCTCTCCAGCGCCATAGAGGATCCTTGTCCAAAAGCGACACTTAAATTGGGACGGGCGGAGGGAGTACTTATTTCATTACAATTCATCATGTATTTATTTTACATAATTTGTCTTCTCTAAAATTTCAGACACACTAATCATGTTTTCTAATAAGGTAATAATAATTTTAAGTTATAGTTTCTAACTTTCAATTTTCATCTTTGAATAATTTAAATTTTTTTAAGAGCATAGCGTAGAATAGGTAGAATGTGAGTGAGGGCATTGCTCTCTGATATCATGTGGGATGAGACTCAAGTCTCCACTCACGAAGAATCAATTTAAAATTCTTTAAATCTGAAGGATTTATCATTTTCTTTTCTTTTCAAAAAATTATCTTATACAAGCGTGGTAAGACTTTTTTAAAATTTATGATATAAATCTTTAGGTCATTTTTGGAACATCAAATAAAAAAAATGCACCAAAATAAATTTATATGGAAATTTTTTAGCCTGTTTGTGTTATAAATGGTGTTGCATTACTAAGCTTTATAAGCCTAAATTCCCGTTTGTTCTACGGGAGTTGGACCACTTGTTAGACTGTCAAGTAAATAAGAGAAAATTACACTGATCTTCTCTGAGGTTTTGTCAACCTACACTGACTTTCCCTCTTTGCCAAATAACAATGACCACTCCTGTCAAAGCTTTTCAATTGATAGCTTTAATGGTTCTAATGAAATTACTTTTCTACCTCCCCTGAGGTTTTGTCAACCTACACTAACTTCCTTTCTTGTTTGTCAAATAACAATGACCTGTCAAAGCTTTTCGTTTGATAGCGTTAATGGTTCTAATGAAATTACTTTTCTACCCTTTTATATTTATATTGTATTTTATTAAAAACACAATGTCATTTGAAAAGACAAAAATGCCCAAAAACCCCCATTAAAGCAGAATATTCAGTCACCATTCCGTCACCACCGAATCTCCATCACCGAGCACCATTACTTAGCCTTCTACTCAAATAAAAAGGAAGCAAGAACATAAACCCATCAATTAACAAAGCTAGCTTTAAATGCGCCTATACCAATAAAAATAATAATAATTTGAAAAATAAATGAGCATTTTGTTTCTAACATAGTATTATTATTGCCACTACTGAATCTATCATGATAAGTTGGAAAAATTAGCTATCCATGCACGTGTGGGTCACCGTCCCAAATTATGTACATTAACTAATTCATAGATCAGGACAATAATTAAAAGCAGAAGGGGTCATCATGCAACAATATCCACTAAGCAATTGTGGAAATTGACCCATCAGAGCACTGCCTTGCTCGCTAGCACCAGCCGCCTCTTCATCACGAGTTACTGTCCTCTTTACCGCCATCGGAATTCTTGCCCTCGTTTCGAAGACCAGTCACCGTGGGATCTCTCGAAAGTGTCGAAGAGGGAGAGGTCGACCTAGCCATTTAAAGCGGCCGGTGGTGGTCAACGCCAGCGGGGCGGTTCGAGGAAGGTTGTCACGTTTTGGATTTGATTGGGAAAGAGAGTAAAGAGAGAAAGATTGGAGAGAGAATTTGAGGAGGGGAGAAATAACTGTGAAGGTATTTTAGACACTTACCGTTGCTTTATTTACATACCTTTGAAGGTTAGAATGAAAATTGGATAATAAAATTTTGATGACATCATCATTTTCTGGTATCGATAGTATTTTCCATTAATAAAGGAGAGGTCCTTGTTATACATATACAAATCTTGAAGGAGGTTATTGTTATTTGGCAAACAAGAAAGGAGGTCAATATAACTTGACAAAACCTCAAGTTCGTGTAATTACCCCTTGTAATAATAACAAGATTAGATAAGAAAAAATCTATTTTAAGTTTATCTTCTTGAAAACTTAACTTTAAAAAATCCGAGTTTTTTTTTTTTTTTAATGTGAGTTTTAATACTTTTTACTAAATTAAAAGTAAATGAACTACCAAATCTATAGTAGGTTTATAGTATTTATTTATTTTATTTAATTAATTATTTTTATAAGTCTAATGCAAAAAGTTAAATTAAGAATGTTGTAAAATATAATATATTAATTATTGAACTGGGGCTATTTATGGGGACTTTGTATAAAAAAAAATTGGGTCGCTTAAATTTTTAAAAAAAATTGTATTTATGGTTACCTATTTATAGTTACTAAAGGTGAGGAAGGAAATTACTTGTGGCCAAAAATTCAATTTCACTTTTTATTCTTTCTTTCAAGGAGTGAAATATAGTAAAATAAAGTGTTAATTTTTATTGTAATTCATGTTCCAATATAATACTAACCTACTATAATCCCTAGAGACACCTAATATTGTAATTATTATAAATTCAAAGGAGAAGAGAGAGATTGTTTGAGACTTAATAATTTCAATTATTACATGCCAATATTTTTTTATTATTTATATTTTTCTCTAATATTATTTATAAAAATGTAGAAAAATACGTTTAACTTAATTAAAAAAATATGGAGAAAACATATTATAGAAGTGACATCTCCTGCAATTTTTACTCTTTTCTTACTATCTACGAATTGGGATAGGGGCACACATCCATTTCTCTTTATTACATTTCCTCCTAACATCAAGGACCATTAGTTTCAAAAACTAAGTAATAGAGATTTGAGATTTGTGTTCAATACATAGAGATAAATTAGATAATATGACCAAGCACACGCATTAAGGGATAACCAAATACAATTTAGATTTCGATTTTACCATTTCACCATTTTACACGAACAAAAAACTTAAGTACTTAGAACGAATAACCAAATACGATTTCGATTTTACCATTTTACACGAACAAAAAACCGAAGTACTTAGAACGGATAACCAAATACGATTTCGATTTCACCATTTCACCATTTTACACAAACAAAAAACCGAAGTTCTTCTAAATATTTACTACCTTCCATTTAGATGAACAAAAAGTCTTCGAAACCAAATCCAGACTATCCATCACTACCCTTTTCTCTGCCTCTTTTTCTTGAAAATTAAGAACACAATCAAATAAAAATAACTGTAACAACTTATTGATAATAAGGATGCAACCTCAATAAACACCTGCTATTCGTCATACTCCTTTCTCTGCTCCATTGTGGTAGCCCCCATTTTTAGTTTTTTACCTGAAAATATATTCAATAAGTATGCTTCAAATAAAAAAATTAACAAAAACACAAATTCAGAAAAACAGTTACCATCCTCATATTTTAGAGCCAAGGCAAGATCCAAATGATTTCCGAATTTAATGAACGCTCGACCAGTTGACTTCCCTTTCCCTTTCCTCTTTCCTGAGGTGTGTTCAACAATCTGCAACAAATATGTAACAATTAAAAACTAAATTTTATGTTTGAGAGCCTCCCAAGAAAGGTCAAACTTACAATTACATCATCGACATCATAGTTGGTGAAAAAAGTTGTCAATGTTTTCAAATTGACCTTAGCTTTGAGGGAGTAAGTAAAATATGACAATCTGAAAAATTAATTATTAACACTAAAGTTTCGACAATATCTGATTTAATAATAACTGTTTCAGGTACTCTATAAAAACAGGTCCACCGTGCAAACAACAAAAGAAAAAACCATTGACCATCAATGCAATTTAGGAGGAACAATGAAAATGAATTGAATTTAGAAAATACGAGCCAGAAGCTCCCCTCTCCCCAAATACTCTCATTTCTCATTTCAGAGAAGCTCCACTCTCCCCTTTCATCTACCCAAGAAATACTCTCATTTTATGAGAAGATTGGAGTTCTCTGTCCCAAGGTGCAAGCAGAAAAAATAAATGATTGAGCGCTAATGTTGCCTACCACACCAGAGTGGTTCTCTCACAGCATTCCTGAGCTGGTTTGTCCTCACGGTGACAATGGGCTTCTCATAAGCGCAAAGTATTTAAACCACATTAAATGTTGATCAAGACAATATTGAGGCAACTTATTAATGAGGCAGCCAAGGCTGGGCTAGCACCGCCATATGCGCCATACTGGTGGCGCTTGACCATTGGTGGCCTAATGGGCACCGGCGCGCACGGTAGTTCACTGTGGGGGACGGGGAATTCAGTTCATGACTACGTGGTTCAACTTTGGATTGTCAATCCGGCGGGACCTGAAGAGGGATATGCCAAAGTCCGAACCCCGGACAATGGTGACCCAAACCTAAATGCAGCTAGGGTTTCACTAGGAGTGCTTGGAGTTATTTCACAGTATGAAACTCAACCAAACCTAAAATTTTGAGTGAGAGAAAGAACTAGAACACCCACAAAAGCTAGCAAACTAAGAACACACCAAACCAAATCATGGTTTCCCCTAAAAAATGGACATTCCCAAAATTTCAAACACAACAAAGAAAAACCTCAAAATCAGCAACAATTCTCCAATTTCTCGAGTTGTTCAAAATTTTTGTGAAATTGGCTCGTTTCTCTAGTCTATCTGTTCCGATAAAAAAAAAAACAAAAAGAAAAGTCTATAATTGACTATGTTGTGCCATCTGATAAAGAGAGAAATGTGTTACAACTGCTTTGATGCTTTTATTCTGTTTTAGTGAAATAGGCGGGTTTGGTGTTTTTATTCTGTTGTAGTGAGATAGGGTCGTATCTCTTAATCGGAACGTACTTCTTAATCGGAAGACGCCGTTTTGTCCTATTTTGATATCTTATTGCAATTGATCTCAAACACTAGGAGCCCATCACAGCTGCAACCCCACCTCTAAAAATGAGAACAGTTCGGTAAATGACGACCAAGCTCTTGCTGATCAGCAAAGGTGTTATGACATAAATTCATAACACAAATATAGTTTAATTCATGAAATAAATTCATGAGTTTTGATTCTAAAATATATTATTCTCCATCAAAAAAATAGAGAAAGAAAAATACTCAAAAAAAAAAAAAAAAATCTTTTAGAAAACAAATATATTTTAATTTAATTAGAAATTGAAATTGAAACCGTTCCTATGTTGAAAATTAATTGGACATATTGGATTTCATATTCTTTTTGAATAATTGGAATATTTTCTCATAAAGAATTGATCTTCGGAAAAGATCTCTATTTTAGGAATTGGAAAACAGAGCTAAAAAAGAATCGGTTTTAGGAATTGGAAAACAGAGCTAAAAAAGAATCGGTTTTAGGAATTGGAAAACAGATCTGATGGCCTTTGAATGGAAAAAAAATCTCTGATTTAACATTTAATCAGGAGGGGAAAAAAAAGGAAAAAGAATGAATCCTTGGAAAATTTACTTAGAAATTGAATCATCGATCTTTGGAAAAGACTTAGGAATTGGAAAACAGATTTGACTTAGCCGCTAATAAAGAATCAATTTTTGGGGTCTGTTTTAGGAATTGGAAAACAGATCCGATGGCCTTAGAAGAAAAAAAAAAAAAAAAAAAGGTCTGATTCACAAATCAAATATGATGGGAAAAAAAAAAAAAAAATGAATGAATGAATCCTTGGAAAATTTACTTAGAAATTTAATCATATATTGGATATCGATCTTTGAAAAAAAGGAGACATCCGATGGCCTTTGAAGGGAAAATTTTATATATATAATAAATAAAAAAAGAAGGAAGAAGCAAAGTTGAAAAAACAATAAAAATAATATTATAATAAATGTGTATTTTAATGCAAAATAAAGATAGAAAAACAATGAAAATAGAACAATAGATCTCACGAGCTTACCCCTTTTTTTTTCCTATTCCTCCCATCCCAAAATGTAAACCTGCATCAAAAAGATTGAGGGACATGAATTATACCTGCATTATGGTCATAGTTTGATAGGTGAGATGAAATGAAAACACATAAAGGTTACGAAATCTCTCTGTGCCACGACAAGCGAGGAAATGACTGAGAATGAGCCAAAGAAGGGCTCAGCAGAGGTTGGGAGATGGACATTGAGAGAGTCATTTAGGGTTAGGGTTTCGAAGCTGACTGATTATTGATGGGACTATTCTAGGGTTTTGATTTATATTTATATAGGGGACAGAGGGTCCTTCCAACACATATTGAGAAAAATATATATATTAAAAAAAGAATAATACTAAAGAAAATCTTTGGAAAACAAATATGTTTTAACTTAATTAAAAATTGGAATTGAAAACGTTCCTATGTTGAAAATTACTTAGGAATTCAAACATATGTTGGATATATTGGATCTTATTTTCTTCACTTAATCAATCCTTGTAATTTATTGAAACATATGTTGGATATATTGGATCTCATACTCTAAAAAAAATCGATCTTTGATCTCAATCCTTGGAAAAATTACTTAGAATTGAAACATATATTGGATTATCATATTCTAAAAAAGAATCGATCTTTGGGGTCTGATTTAGGAATTGGAAAACGATGGCCTTTGAAAAAAAAAAAAAAAAAAAAAAAGATCTGATTCACAGATCGAATTGACATTGAAGGGGAAAAAAGAAAAGAAAGAAATGGAGAAGCAAAGTTAAAAAATATCGAATATCTCACCTTTGCCTTCCACCTAGGCTATAATCAGGCTCTTCTCTTCTCTTGAATCTCTTTCTCTTCCTTTGTGAGGCCTCTTCTCTTCTCTTGAATCTCTCTCTTCTCTTCTCTCCGTCTCTCTTTCCACAATAGATTTTTCTCATCATATCTAATTTAATTCAACGAATAGTCAGATCATCAGATCTACACTACACATACTGAATAAATTGCTTAAATACTGGAAAAATATCACTAAAAATTGAATCAACCCATTCAGGCAGACGAAAGAAATAACAACTAGCTGTCTAAAAGCACAAAATATATATATAATTATATTACCTTGAAGGCAGACACAATTCTCTGCCTCTTTCCGAACCACATCAAGAACAGAATCGATGAGCTCAGCCCCTCCAGTATTGTGACCTGTGGACCGATTACTGGCGGCGCCGGACAGCCCGAACACGAAGTTGTCGGTTCGGAAGATCTGGCCGTAGGGCCCGGATCGGACACTGTCCATGGTGCCTGGTTCGAGGTCCATAAGGACGGCGCGTGGGACTAACCGGCCACAGCTGGCTTCGTTGTAGTACACATTGACCCGCTCCAGTTGCAGGTCCGTGTCACCTTGGTATCGACCCGTCGAATCTATGCCGTGCTTGGCGCAGACCACCTCCCAGAACTTTGCCCCGATCTGGTTGCCACATTGGCCCCCCTGAATGTGCAGAATCTCACGCATTTCTAGAGAGAGAAAGTAGAACGAAGATGGAGAAGGCGGTGGGGTTTAGAGAGAGGAGGGGCGGCGAATTGGGGGTTTAGAGAGAGGAGGGGCGGCGAATCGGGGGTTTAGATAGAGAGAAGGGGAGGTCTGGTTTTGCCGTCTGGGGGAAATGAGAGGTGGGGTTTTATGGGGGTATGTTAACGGCCGTTGTCCGCCGTTATGTGAGCGTAGAGAGTTGGGAGGGGAATGGTAATGTCGCCGTCTGGTTTAAGTGGGAATTTAAAATTTGAAATTTGAAATTTGAAACCCTAATTTTGAATATTTTGATTCGTACACGCTCTTGGTTGAACGCAACTGCCACGTGGAAAAGGAATGCAAGTTGCAAACTCCGATAATAATATATTAAAATCCTGCCAGTTGTCTGTGAGCATGAAATTGTTAAAGATAACACGTGATATTGAAGATGATCACGTACCAGCCATTGCGTTGTTGCAAGTACATTGTCAGGTCACAACTGAGAATAAAATGATTTTTTATCAATTTATTAGTTACAAAATTGACCTCTTTCAACGAGAATAAATTACTTTTTATGACATCTTACTTTCTTAAAATATTAATTAGTCCCTCTGTTCACAAAAAAATGTTATGTTATAACATTTTTTTTGTAGAAAAAAGGAAGTACTTTTTATTTTTGTTATTATCCGTAATTGGAATCAACGTTGCTTATTTATTATTTTTTTTTCGAATATGTATATCAATCACACTTATTATTTAAGTCAAGAGTGTAATTTGAAACTTATAATTTAAAGATTTATTCCAAATTTCTGTTGATATGCACCTAGGACCAGACTCCAATTTTGATGTCCGCAATTTTGCCACCTACACATTGCTGGTAGAACTAAAGGACTAAAAGCCTAATAGTATAGATTAATATTGAACCCAATAAACCAGAAATAAGTTAAATATCCAAAAACATGATATTAAAAGTAGAATGTAAATGGTCTATAGAGAGAAATATGACAGTAGACCAACAAAAGTTATTCTTCTTGCAAAATAAAAAAGATTAATTGTTTGATTCCATGAATATGTGCCTAAGCTCAGTCCACTTTTGCTGGACCCATGACGGAGAGCTCAAGAACAGAGGACCTAGACTGTTCTAGATTAACCATCTTTTCGTGCAGTTGCTTGATCTCTTTCTCAGCACTTTTTCTTCTTCTCAAAGATCTTTGTCAGTTCTTGTCGAAGCTCGGCCTCCTTCGCGATCAAGTCCTTCCGAATAGCCCTCTGCATTTGGAGTGCGAATGCATTACTCTTTATTTGCTCAACCAAAGGCTTCTTTGTTCCTTGCTTTTCTGCTACTTTTTCCTCACCTCCTTCAAAGAATGGTTAGAAGTCAAAGATCTGAGAACTGTTGGAAAATTGACCTTATTGGTGTTCAACTGTGCAAGCTGGGCTGAAGTAAGGTCACAGCACTCTGACAAGACACAGATGGATTTTGTAATGTGCGCGGCAAAATCAAGAATTTCTGATAGGTCCCGAGATAACATCTTTATAAAGAATTTTTTAGCTTCATCAATAGTTGATTGAGGTATGGAGGCTGCAACCAATCCTTCAGTAATGGAGTCAAAGGGTGCATCAGTCTCTACAAAGATATAGTCATCCATGTCATCAAATGAAGCTGACTCAAGAGGGTCACCCATTGGAGTACTCCTCGCCAATTCAACCTCCTACAAAGATTACAAAGAAAAATTCTTTTTAGAAACTGACTCTCAGGTCAGAAAGTTTTATCTTTCAAAGATTAAAAAATAAATAAAAACCAAAGCATTGTTGATTTAACCGGAGAAAAGCTGCTGCCGGAACTTGGGCCTGAGTGGAATTAAGCATTGATTCCTTTTCAACAATTGGTGGGACCGAAGTCTTGACCACTTTGGTGTCTGATTTACTTATCCATAGATTTAGCAAACAAACTGAACTCAGACCCTTTGTACTGTGTTTGGTAAGCAAGAAAATAGAGAAAACCAAAAGAATCCAAAAAATAATTTTTTTTTGCATGATTTCAAAACCCTAATTTTTCTCATCATTTTCAGAATGTCAAAACGCCCTCATTTTTACATTCTGATTTCTCATCTTTGATTGGTCTGATAAAACAAGGTGGACTGGTTTCTTCTTCGCATAGTGAGAGAGAGAGAGACAAAGGGAAGAAGTAGATTTTGGGGAATAGAATAGAGAACTGGATTGCCATGCACCTTTCATTTGGACTGCCAAATTCAAAATTTGAGAGAGGTGTAGAAAATGGGCTTCCTAACGGGCTTTCATTTGTGCTCTCAAATTTTGAGAATATTATATTTTTTCTCAAATATAGGAGCTGCCAAAAAATCTCTCTGTACGACGCCGTTTGGAACGGCTTTAAGACTGTCCATTATGTTCCTCCCCTCTTCCGACTGGTTGCTTCAACAATCTCTCTCTCTCCCTCTCATCTGCAAGGACAAGTTTGTTGCTATTTCCAAAATCTGACTTCAATCTCTCTCTATATATATATATATGTGTATGTTTGTATATCTAACTCTCAATACAAAATCTGACTTCAATCTCTCCCTCTCAATTCAATGATTCCAATTTATCCATGGTCGAAGATGGCATTTACAGATCCGGCTTGAGAGTTAGCAGTTGCAGAGAGAGAGAGGTAGGCAAGCTTGAGAGTTGAGAGACAACGGTTGAAGCTTGCGAACGGCAAACCCGAACTGGAACAGCGGGCGATTGAAATTGAAAGATATGGGTTTTGATTTTTCGAACAACCTAAAATGATATGCGGATATGGGTTTTGATTTTTTGAACAATCTGAAATGATATGCCGATATGGGTTTTGAGCTTTTGATTCCTGCAAACAAATAGATAAACTGAAAATATATGGGTTTTGAACTTCTGATTCTTGTAGATTTTATAGTTTGCAGTTGCATAGAGAGAGAGAGAGAGAGAGACTTCTTTGGTTTATAAGTAGCGGCGACGGCAGAGAAGGCGAACGGAGCACTGATTTTCCAACGGTGATGGCAACAGATTTGAGTGAGGGCTTGATCAGACTAGGGATTTTTCCAGGCCATGATCTTCGAAGTAATCAGAGGCTCGAACAAGTTCGTCCACAAAATCGAACTCAAAATTCCCCCAATTTGATGGTAATCATCGTGAATATTCGAATTGATGCGAGTGAAATTGACGACTTAGATCAAATTGAGTGTGAATTAGGGAATAGATCCCATATCGTTAAACAGAAAATTCTAATTCGTATACACCCAGATCGAGAGAAGAGGTTTATATATGTTTATATATATATGCATGTATATGGATAAATAATATATATAGCAACTCATATTAAGAGAAGAGGTTGGTGGTTGTGGGGGTGGTGGTTACGGTGGTGAGTGAAGAGAGAGAAATAAAGATGGGGTGAGCGGTGGCAGCAGTCGGTGGTGTTGGGTAGACAGAATAAAGGTTAAACAGGGAAATGATGGTGGTTAAGGGTGGTAGTGGTGGCTGCAATAATTTTCTTTTTGCAAATCACTATTTTGTTATATGTATATGTGTGTGTGTGTGTGGCTTTATGCATGTAATATGTATATGTGTATGTGTGGGTAAGGGCAAGTTCAGAGTCCAGAACGAGAATAAAGATGGAGGTGATTGGGGAGGGTGAAATGATTTGCCCTAAAAATATTATGTGGGACGTAATGCAATGAATGATTAAGATGGGAAGGTACTTTCGAAATTAACTCGTATGATTAAAAAGTTAGAAGTGAGTTGGACTTGGTTTAATAGAGAGTAAGAATTATTAAAATATAGTATTTTGGATAAAATGTATTATTGGAGTCAAATTATTAAAATATAATATTTTAACATTATAATCCCTCTCAGAATATAAATTTGACGACCGAAATGACATTTAAGATTGGAAATGCTCTAACTCGGTGTTTGTCTTGGTAATTGGTATTGTTTACCTCTCTCTCTCTCTCTCTCTCGCGCGCCCTGCCCAAACTAGATTAGTAGATAGATACAATAGGGTTTCATTCAAAACAAAAGGCTGACATCAATCACGTGAAGCGTAGCTGCCTTGACGTAGGCCAGTCAAAGGATATCCAGTACTGTTAGGCTTTTAACGGGTTGCCATCTGAGTCAAGGATCCGGCTCCTCTTATCAACGGACAGTATTTGGCCACGTCAATTTTAAAAAATAAAATCTACTGTAGTTCAAAAAATAAGCATGATCAACGGCAAGGCAAACGTTGCCTTAGGACTTCTCTCCTGTCTCTCTCTCTAACCTTGCCCGCAAAGTACCATTTTCAATCTCAATTAAATTATTCATAAGCTTTATTTGAGAGATTGATTGCTTTTTACTCTTGGTTTCTTTACCTTCTCTACTTCTATTTATCTTTCATCATTTACTCTCTCTCTCACTTCGTATTTAACCAAAATTATAGCAATTTCGCACTAATTGGATGTTTTAATCAAAACAGCAATTTAGGTTCACTTTAAAGAACTCGTCAGTTCTATTTCAGAACCCTGTTCTACCAATCCATAATTATCCTTAAATTGGATCACAGAAAATTTTGAACCTATATTTTTTTATATGAGAAGTCGAAACTTCTAATACATTCTCTTATAATCCCCTGCCCTCATTATACAAGACACCAATTGTCAAAAAATATTAAATCATAAACATCATCAAATTTATTGTTTAAAATCTCATATATGAATGACCTCACACTGCATTCAAACCTTAGCTTATAACTACGTCCTTTATAATTATAGTGTAGTTGTTGTATGTAAAATGAGTAATGAAAGACTTATAGTCCTCTAAATAAAATGGGATAGGTAAAAATACGAACATGCCCTCCAAAATTCCCTTTACAATAATAATACAAAACGAGTAAACGTTCAAATTACTAAAAAGGGTTTTCACTAAAGACGAAACTGTATTTATTTATATTATTAAACCCAATTGATCTATTAACTTCATTTTCTCCATTCTACCAGTCCTTTTTAGGTTTCACTCACCGATGATCTCCAAATCTCCGAGGACTGATCGAACGTGCGACTATCTTAATCGGGCAACCATAAATTTCTGAAGACAAATATGTATCTCCTAATTTGAATTTATTTTCCATGTTTTCATGGTTTCCCACCTTCAAATTCTTATATGGGTTTGCCCAAATTAAAGGAAATT